ACAAGAAAAGAGCCTCGTACGGATCGTTCAAGCATACAGAAACAGAAAAAGGGCGGCCACCATAACGTTGCCGCTAGAAACAGCAGGCTCAACGGAGTGATAGCAGCCGGAGCATTGAGATTCATAAAAAGGCAAGTCTGCGTCCTGCCATGCAGGGGTTCCGCGCAGCAGCAGTAGCACATCCTCAGCCCTTCCTGCGCTTGGATTCCACGAATCTGCGCAAAAGGGCAAAGACAACCCCTAACCTTCCATGGACATGTTCCCTCAGAAGCTTCCGCCATGTCGACGGTTGATCTGGCAGTGGTGGGCAATGGCATGCCAGATTCCCAGAGCAGTTCAAGCCTTCGCCGTTAGAAAACATGTCAGGTTCCCGAGCAGGCTTGGTTATATGTGAGCAGTCTTCAGCTAGTGTGGAGTACCCTAAGCCCCAAGCCGCATCATGCAGCCAGCATCAGACTAGTGCAGGTTTGGCGCATTGGTCGATGAGACCGGCAGATTCGTGTGGTGTTGTCTGGACACCTTTGGTGGATCGCGGCCCAGTATGTGGTTCTTTTCTTGCAGGTTCTTCCGAGACATTAGCTTAATGTGCCGTGTTCTCACATATACGAGTATCTCCAAGCGGTATGAGGAGTGAGGCATGTAGGGTCCTGTTCTTCGCCGCCGCCCCACAATCAATTGACGTGCCCCTAATAGTACAAAAAGCAGTAACGTGGTGGCACAAAGCGCTAGCCTGGGTTGTGCTTTGGGATAATCTTTAATTTCCCTTATTTCCTCATAAAGGGAACCTATTCATAAATGATTTTCAAAGGGTTTCAAGCACAGCCCGGCAGCGCTTCTCCCAGCTCCTTGCGAATCCCAACTGGGAGTTTCCGAAAATAGGGGACCCTAATGTAATATCCTAGATAGTAGGATCCTTATTATAAGCACCCCAAACTAAGGTACCCCCATTTTTCGGAAGCCCTAAACCCTAAACCCTTCATAGAGCCCTTATAGATCCCCTTAAGGAGCCCTTGAAGGATCTCTTCAAAAAGGTACCCCCCTATTTTTCGGAAAGCTCCCTAAGCCCGGCTTGAGGAGATCCCGTCTTCAACTGCTTAGTGAACAACAACTCCGACAAGAGCCGCGGCTGAGTTTTTGTCGCGTCTCTGAAAGTTGGGAGTTTCCATGGGGTTTGGGGTGCAGGGGTTTAGGGGTTTAGGGGTTTAGGGTTTAGGGCCATTAGGGTTTTGGGTTTAGGGTTTAGGGCCTTGGGGTTTGGGGCTTTGCGTTTAGAGTTTCATGGAGCTTCTCTGTCTCAGTTTTTGCCTTTGTGACGCCTGTTCTCAGGACAGGTTTCTACGATGTCGTGCTGGAAGACTTCAGCAGATCGGAGCAGTTCTACGAAGGCACTTCAGTCCCTGAAACTCGCGGAAGTGCAATACTATAGGGGCCTTAATAGGTACCCGTACTTTTTTTTGGGGGTTCCTTATCATAACTATAGTGTAATACACCCCCCCAAACCCTGTTCTAGCTATTCAGGCCCCTGCATTGGGCAATAGGGCGATGACATCGTGACAATGCCCTGCTCGATCTGTCTTGCTACTGTCAGAGCTGTCACTCCGAAGTATCTGGGTAGCCTTTTTTTGGATCCCTAGTACAGTACGGCAGACTTAACAAAAACGGGACCCTAAAATGGACCCGAATTTTGAGAACTACTCATATGATGTGTGAAATCAGCAGGATCACTCCAGTAGGATGCTCCGTTATCTTCTCGGGCCTGTCTAGTACGGTTAAACATCCTTCGTTTGATGGATCCTGCCAGATCCTCAGCCCGACAACTTCAGTATTATCTAAAACTGCAAACCTCTGAAACTTTAAGACTTCCAACCCCCCAAACCCTGCAGACCCCGTAAGACCCTACAAAACCCTGTAATAAGATGTAATAAGCCCTAAAAACCCTAAACTCTATGGGCCCTAAACCTTTTGAGCCCTAAGCCTCCGAAGCTGCACCAGCCCGAAATGAAAGTTTCCGAAGATAGGGGACCCTAATACAGTACCCTAAATACTAGTATCCTTATTCTAAGGACCCCCAAATAAGGTACCTTTAATTTTCGGAAGCCCTAAACCCTAAGCTCTCGATAGAGCCCTTGTAGATCCCTTTGAGGAACCCTTAAAGCCTTAAAGGATCTATTTAAAGGTACCCCTAATTTTCGCAAACTCCCCAAAATCTGGGCTTTTGCCGAGATGCAAGCACCATCCTCGTCACGAAGCTCTTCTCGGAGAAAGGAGATGTGGCCCAGATCCCCGGCATTTCAGGGTTCAGCAGTAGTAGTAGTGGTAGTAGTAGTAGTAGTAGTAGTAGTAGCAGTAGTAGTAGTAGTAGTAGTAGTAGTAGTAGTAGTAGTAGTAGGGTCGAACTTGCTTTGGGGCTTTGGGGGGTTGAGGGTCTCTAGGGTTGGGGGCTTAGGCTTTAAAAGCTTGGGGGTTCCGGGCTCAGGGTTGAAGGTTCGAGGTCCTCGGAGCAACATCCGCCAGAAAGACTGGTCCTCCCGGGTTTCGGAGCACTTCGTTGTCAAGTACACCTAACAGAGGGGTCTTCCTAAGAAAGGCAACCAGCCCAACGGATCAACATCAGTCCACAGACAGTGCCAAGCATGGTGAAACAGGTCTGAGCTGCCTTGACAGGCGGGCTAGCAGCTTTGCAGGAGAGGCTTTGTGTAGTGGTCTATCAGTGCTTCGACTTCATGGGTTGAGGGTGTGCTCTCTCTGTAGCTGAGGAAAAGAGCCTTCAACAAAACATCCTGAAGCTTAAACGCCTAGACCCTGAAGCCTACTTCCCGCCGTGACTACGGAGGTTGAGATTCGTGACTTCGCACCTCGCTTCGTCCACTATGCAGCTTGACGGATCTTGGGCTACCCCTTCTGTGTTGTAGAGCTTTTGCGATAGGCTCAAAATACTATCAAAAACAATTTGATAGTATACTGCGGGAGAGTATACGGCGCTACATCGGCAGTTGTCGAAATCCACCTCCGGACGTTGATGAACTGAGGACAGAGTCTTTCGTCCTTTTCAGCTGATCCGTTTGGTGCGGAGAAAGCAGGCACATCCCGTTGCTGCAAAAAGCAGCGATTCGATTCAGTTCAAAGACTGTTGGTCGGCACTATTGCTACGGCTTTTACTGCAGCAACAGCAGCATGCTGGCCATAACGACACGCCACTGCCATACTGACTCATCGCTGTCACCGCCGACACCATGTCCACCATCACCGTCGCCGTCGCCGTCGCCCTTCGCCATCCTCCTCATCATCATCACCACCAGCATCACTTTTCTTCATCATGCCAGTCTTCAAGGCGTCAGGAGAATCATGACCACTACCGTTATCGGCTAAATACATGGGCAACTCTTGCGAGGACTCAACAAGCACCATGGTGCAGGATGACAGGCATAAAGCTATGTAGCCCCACGAAACCGAGTCCCGTGCTGCAATCTAGCCAGCTTTTGTCTAGCTGAGCGTATCAAGTGGACTCGCATCAAGCTCAGAAGCGTCTAATGGTGATGACCTTTGTCGTTTAAGTAGAGCAACCTTCAGGGTCACCCCAAAAGCGCACAACTTTTCAGCTGGGCCTACGCAGAGCACAGCCAGGGCGACCCTCGAATCTCCGTGCGAATCCGACCCACTTTTCAGCAAAGCTGACATGTTTGAGGGGGCAATGCCAAGGATTCATATATGGAGCGCCTCACAGTGTTGTGCTAGGTACAACTCCACAGACGGGTACCAGACGCGTGGCTCACAACACGTCCGGTTTTGTTCCTTGGCCAAACTGGTAGTCCTGCACACGGAAAGCTTGCTTCAGGGTCCAGATGCCTTCGTTTTGAGCTGGGCGCATGCAGAGCGCAAGCAGCTACTGTTGAGTTCCAAGGCGCGATCTAGATAGTCCACTAAACACGCTAGCTAGTGCATATTAGCTGAGTTGTTTTTTTGCTTGCTGTTTGGTTTTTGGTGGCGGAAGTGTCGGCGTCGTCTTCGTCGTCGCCGAAGTCGTCGTCGAGGTCCACATGGTTAACGACTATGGACGGTGATCATTATCGCAACAGTACCACAGAAAACAGCCCATGCTGTGGCTTGCATCATTATCACCAATATCTGCACCGATTGGAATGGGCATGGCTGTCATTATTGCCATCATCACCACCATCATCCTCATCATCTTCATCGTCATCATCATCATCATCATCGCCATCACTGCTGGCTTCATGACTGTGATAGTTGCCGTCGTGGCTGGATGTAGACTGCCCCTTCATCAGGGCGACTTCCAAGGGAAACAGGGACGGTTTTCGAAAGATCTCACCGTCTGAGGTGGCCCAAAGCAGACATGGTCTCCCGGCTGGAGCAGAGAGTCAAGTTTTGTGTGCTTTGACGGTTTGCAAATGCCCATGTCACCTGCAAGGCGAGTGACGACCAACATGCCCGTCAGACGAGTCATCGAGGCTGCGAGAACTGTCGTCAAGCTAGGGGGTCCGGAGCTTGTTGAAGTAGCGCTTTGCCTTCAGTTCACTAGCTAGTTTAGCGTGGAAGGCACCCTGACAGGGACCACTGGTAAGTTGCATTTAATTTGCTCCCTTTTGGGCTCCTTTGCAGGGCTACTCTTGACTTGGCACTGTCTGTCGGCATCCTTACTGGGGCCTCGGCTCTAACAGGTTCATCTCAGGACCTGTGCTGCAGGTTTGTGGTGACAAAGACAGTCTGAGTACCGGGCCATGGCTCTTGGCTCAAGCAGGCCGGTCTGCGTTGTCGAAGCGAACCACCGCGAGGGCTCTGAATGAAGATGGCACTGGAAGCCCTCGTAGCGTGCTGGTTTTTCTTCGTTGTACTTATCTAAGCAAGCAGATAAGGCAGGCTCTCAACTCAGCAAAGCAGAGCCCTAGGTCATGCTCAAATTCCAAGGTTTTGGCCCTTGTGCCAAGCATTAAAATTAGGTTCTAGCTTCGCCAAAGAGCATGCCAAAGTAGCATGCGAGCATGATGAAGCGGCCGCCCGACGAGCCAGTGAAGCTACCGACCACGGCGAAGCGGAAACGCGGCAGACCGCCCAAGAGCGCTCGGCAATCTGAGCTTCCGAGCCGGAGCAAGTCGAGTGCCAAGCTCTTGCAGGATGTGCCGGAAAATGATCCGGTTCGGAGATTGGTAAAAGCAGGTCGGAGGAGAGGTGCTCAGACTGCCTACTTCTTCATCCGTGAGGCTTGGAAGCTGGGCAGCGGCTACGACGACTTGAGCTCCCGCCAGGGTGCCGGCAGACGCTTCCTTGATCCGACGACGGTGAAGATCTCCGTTGGAGTAGAGGCCGCAGGCTCCATGGAGGAGGTGGGAAGCTTCCCCTGTCAGATTCATGGAGTTCTTTAGGCACATCTTGTACCCAATGCTCTTAATGCCTAGACTCTACACCCTCAACCCTAAAGTCCCTAAAGCCTCAATCTTACCGTCACCGTCACTTCAGGCATCGCGGATCGCCCGTTGCCTCTGCAGCTTGGCGGCCTCTGGAGGTACCTTCGAGGAGGTAGGGCACGTGGAATGTAAAGGCCCTCTGTAGTCAAGCTCCTTGAAGTATAAGGGCACCATGTGAGTACTATGAACGGTGCTTTCAAGGGATCGGTACTGTAGCTAGTATGTCTATGGGGTTCACAGCCCGAAATTCCAAGAGGCAAGAATCACTGCGGATACTGCTAGTGTTTCTGCTGCCGCTTCTGCTACTGCTGCTAAAACCAACACCACTACCGCTGCCATTACGACGATCACTACAGTACAACTACCACTATGTGCAGCTCCTGCGACGTGTTGTGTCAGGCCTCACAGGTTCCATTCTACTATACTGAAGTATACTATAATATACTACAATATACTATAATATGTTGGGATATACTTCAATATATTGCAATATCCGATAATATACTATAATATGCTGTAATATACCAGAATATGCTGTAATAGACGAATATACTATAGCCTGAGAGTCCAGGGTGGCGGTTCTTGACGTTTGCAAAGGGGGCCCTGGAAGGTTACGCGACAAAAGACTTCCCTGTTGAAGAACGTGAGGGCAAGGAGGCCTGGGAAAGACAAAGACAGCAAGAGGACGTCGAAGGTAGCCAAGAGCTCGAAGAAAGCTTCCCTGGAGCCGGTGTTCAAGAGATCGAAGTTTCCGAGCCGAGAAGGCGAACATGAAGTCGGTCCGGAACCTGCCGAGGGCAAAGTGCGACACTTCTACGACATGTTGAATGCCCGGGAGAGTATCGCCAAGCGTCGCCGGGCTGGTGTCACCGGTGTGCAGCTGTATGACGGGCTGTCCCCAAGCATGGCGACCTACTTCAAGCGCTGGTGTTGCCCGAATGTCAGACGACGGGAAGACCGCACGACCCGAGACTTCGCTCAACTGGCAGCTGCGGATGCAAGATATCAGCTCTGTAACACTGACGAGGAGCGGCAGAAGCTGAAGCGGTTTCTGTCTCACAGTTAGGTAACATTTTGCATGTTTATTGCTACGTAAACTGAATAAGGATAATCTCTAATGCCACCCAAATCATGAACCAAATCATGAACTAGGCTTCTTGTGCTCAACTTCGCCGTCTGGCGTCTTATCGGTGGGACCCTCCTTTTCGCTCGGGCTGTGGGCTTCCTCACGCAGCTCGCTGCAGGGCAGCCTTCAACTGGCATTCGTATCCTATAGTATATTGTAGTATATTATAGTATAATACTACGGTATATTACAGTCTAGTGTTTAGTATCCTCAGTCATCAGTAGTCACTTAGTGGCTTGGTTAGTTCTAGTCTCTTACTTCTTCTCCTGCCGAAGGGGCAGGAACCCTACGCTATTCAGTTTTTCAGTCATACCTCAAGTCCCCACTCCCAAAAACTCCTAAGTCCTGAATCTCGAAGGTCCTCAAACCCCCTTAACCTAACCTAAAGGCCTCACATGTGGGTCAGCGTTTAGGGTTCAGGGTCGGGGATCTTGAGACATTCCCAGGAACTGGTCTGATGTGGAGAAGGATCACATTCGGCGTGTGATCACGCAAGCTTTCCGTAGCGGCACGGCAGCCTCCTTGTTCAGCGATGCATATGAAGCTACCCAGAAGATCCGGAAGGCAGGAGAGAAGTCGAGGGGTTCAGGGTTTTGGGTTTGGGGTTTAGGGTTCAGGGTGCACCAAAATGTATGATGAGCACGAGTGCTGTTAGACGCATGAGGCCATGTATGGGCGCGTTTAGTCTTGAAGTGCATGGACGGCTAAGGAGCACATGGATTGGGCAGTCCTGCGTATGTCTGAACCTCTACGGCTTCCTTCTGTCTAAAATTTACATATCGACGACGAAGCATGCATACACACGTACATACATTCACCTATACATGTGCATGTGTATATGCGTATGTACATAATATGTGTACAAGGAAGATATATGCATGCAGAGCGTGTGTTTCTGCCGGAAAAACCGTGTGCATTCCGCTTTCCAAGATGCGAGGCGTTCGGCCCAAACTGCGATGCAGAGAAAGTGAAGGCCGGTCACCTCACTCCCACAGGTTTTTGGGGGTGTTTATAGGGGGTTGGGGTTGAGGGTTGAGGGTTTAGGATTTAGGGGTTGGGGGGGGGTTAGGGGTTTAGGTAAGGTTTGGGGGTTAGGGTGCCGGGGTTTGGAACTCGTTGTCGCGCAGGTTTCTGTCTCTGCGAACCAGCCTGCTCCAACCTCTCTGCCCCTGTTCTTGCTTCTCGTGCTGTTCGGACTGTATGAGTGGCGTCAGCAGCAAGTCTCGCTGGCAGGGACTTCTCTACAACCAGGGTCCCAAGGCGAGGCGGCTCGAAGATCCAGTGCTGTTGAGCCAAGCTGCAAGCGTGCCGGCATGTTCGTAGGCCGTGGAGAACAGAGAGCCGACCCTGACATACTTTACGGTCCATGGCAAGCTGCGGTTGCTGGATGATTCCTGCCTACATACTTGGGGGCTGAGCCAAAGGCAGTATGCTTTGGGTCTTTTGAAGCGCTTCTTGTCGTAGAGAAGGAACTCCAAAACTTGGAACAACCCCGAGCTAAGGAACTCTGGCTGGTAGCTCCAGATGTCGTTGCTGCTGCCGCGCCGGACCAAACAGGCAAGGTAATTGGCCTGGTGCAGATGCTGCACCAATTCACCTAACAGTGGCATGACAGAGTGGCATGACAGACACTCGATACTAACATAGCATGGCAGCGAGAAAAGATGTCTATAAATGGATATATATATATATATACATAGATAGAGGTTTAGCTTTGAATGTGCGATTGAAGCATAAGTATACAGTTACCGGCGCCCTCATTGAAAGAAGCTGCCCCTGAGTGCAGGCAAGCACCATTGGCAGAAGGTTGCAAACGTACTGGGTCAGCTACCGTACTTCGGGCGCGACGAGCCATGCCATGACAAAGATTGGGGGTGCCCAGAGCCTCCAAAACCCCTTATTAAGGAACATACACGGAACATACATAAAATCATATTAGGGATCCTACTATGATTTAAGGTATACTCCTTAATTAAGGGGTTTTGGAGGCTCTGGGTGGGGGGGTGGGGGGCTGAGAAGTCTGAAATGCACAAGAACTTCAGTCATCAAGCCTTGGTGTTATGTAGTGGCTTGGTGACGGAGCAACTGTTTGCTTGGCGATGCAACTGTATGAGAACACGACTGTCAAGGAGCTGTCTGCATCTCTCTGAAGTCGGCCGAATCTTTCCAGTGAGTTTAGGTTCTAGAGTTTAGGGTTCAGGGCCGGAGAGACCTGTCCTTTCGAGGAGAACAATCTGCGCGAGCCCACGTTCTTAGCGAAGGACCGGGACTGCCTGAAATCCGCTGGGAGCGACTGCCTGACACGTGCATGGTGGGGTCAATTGCGAATTTTATGTTGGGGAGTTTCAGAAGGAAGCAGTCTTTGCTACAAGGACCCCGACTAGAACGCATAAGTCATGCGACCCAACCGTCCTGGTACCTAGCCAGGAGATCGCGCAGGATCTCCTTGACACGCCCGTGTTTTGCGGTGGCAGGGAAAGCGTGGCCGTGGGGCCCTCAGTCACCGTCATGAGGCTGCTTACACAGTCTATTGAAAGCCTCTTATATGGGAGTTTCCGAAAATTAGGGGTACCTCGTTTTGGGGTCCGTATCATAAGGATCCTACTATTTGGGGTACTACATTACGGTCCCCTATCTTCGGAAACTCCCATATCAGAAGGCATATGAGATGTTCTGTACGGGGTCTACTGTAAGTACACTCTGAAGGCTCTTTGCTGTGCAAAATATTCAGTATGTGCAGGCCTGGGTTCAATCGAAAACATGCCTCCGGATGCTTACATAAACAAGTTTCCACTTACCACCACCTTCCTACTACACTTCGACGGCGACTGCGACAACTAGGACTGCTACGGCCACTACGACTGCTGCAAACACGACTACTACCACTACTACGATACAACCGGTACTACTTGTACTACTATTACTACGGCCGCTACTGCTGCTACGAGGAACATGGCTTTTCCGGCAAAAGGGTCGCGAGCCTTCCGGGCCATCCAAGGACCTCCGAAGCTTCTCACCAGCTGGTCCAGGAGCACTGCTCGGGCTGATGCTGCTCTACGATCTCAAGGCCCGAACCCTGAGCCCGAAGCCTTGCAAAAATCCGTTTCCCTCCCAAGACCATTCTGAAAAATCCAGGAGCGCCCGGAGCAGCGCCGGCTACCGAGCTGAGCCTTCCCAGCGCGGCTGAGTGCCCAAGAAGTGCAGTGTTTCAGGCGAGGCCGTGCCGCTGATGCGCGCCATCCTCGAGGCGACCCATTTTTGCAGAAAGGCAAAGTAAGAAGCCGCTTGCAGAGTGATCCGACAGGAAGCATCCAAGTACTGGCAGCATCCTGAGTCGGGACCTCTGGAATTGTTCCTACCTCAGTGGATTGGGCGCTCAGTGAGCCTCTGTCGCTTGCAGAGCCACGCCACTTAGGCATGACATTCAGTTCATGCTCTGCGAGGCGTGTACCGAAGAGGATAGAATCAGACACGTCTAGACTGTTGATGCGAGGTGCAGAAGCTGTTCCACAGCCACAATGCTCAGAACAGCCTGAGGCCGGACCTGTACAGCTTGCAGAGGAGCTCGGCGGTGGGTGGGGTGATGTGGCGACGCCTCGACCCTAAACCCTATAGACCCCACACGAAAGAATAGACCTTAACCCCTAGACCCTAAGCCCTAATGGAGGTGCTATGGAGTACCTGTTTCCGTCATGACCGCCTTCGATGCCAGCGGCGCCACCCTGCCGTGGCATCAGCTGGTGCAGGCTCCGGGCCGGTTCTATCGCACGAGACACGGACTGTGAATATAAGTATCTATCTTAATCTCTCTGTATGTGTCTCTATATCACTGTACTGTATCTGTACTGTCTATATCTGTATCTATTTATGTGTGTATGTATGTCTGCGAACATAGAAATATACATAAATAGATACACAAACAAACAAAGAAAAACACACACACACACAGGTGTGTATACACATACATATATATATATATACACACATACATGCTATATGGGAAAAAGCTTCTGCACATTGCTGCTCTTGATTCCAGGATGCGCTCCTGCTTCTCCAGCACCGTAGTGGAGCTCATGTCGTGCATGAGGAGGAATGGGCTGCTCGTCTGCTGGTCAACTGCACGGTTTTCGCACACCCAACAGCAGGTCCCTTCTCTGGTATACAGCTTGAAGTTACATAAAAAGAGACTGTTTAGACCTTCTGTCATGGGCGGGTTCAGTCATGGAGTCTTAGTTCGTCCTCAGCCTTCGATGTGCGATGCTGGTCTGGCTCCGCTTCGAAAGCCTGAAGTTAAGAATCGTGGTAGTGAGTCCATTTTATGTGATAGTTCTGGTGTCTGCATAGTGTGCATCACGTTTCAGGAGCTGCGGCAGTTCTTGCTCCATTGGCTGGGATTCTCCACCTACGAGCCGGATGAGGTGCTCCTAAATGTGAGAGCCCTGCCCAACCGCGACGAACGGTAGACCTCGATGCCGTACAGGTCGCAATTTGCTTCTTTCTGCAGGTCCTGAGACATGGAGATGAGATTCGTCTCAGACCAGATACTTCTTCCTGCCTGGCCTTGGAGGGCTTTCAGGCCTTGCCGTGGCTCAAAACCTAGCACGCGGCTGCACGCTGTGCTCACGAAGGTAATGCATCGTCTCATCCGAACTTCTGCCGGCCCCTTAGCTGGGACCGCACCAGGGGTTGCAAAACGCGAAATGTCGGAGGAGGCCAGGGACACGAGTTTCGTTCTTGAACGTCGGGAAGGCGTCGGCGCACTGCGCTTTGGTGACCAGGTGCGGATGCTTGGCAAAGTTCTTGCATAGAAGGTTTTTATAAGAACCCTCATGTTCTGTGACATGAGCTCGGCAGCTTTCAAACTCAGATTTGGCTCCGCTCCAAGTGCGGGTCGCACGTTGGAGTGAAGACGGCCCCAGACAAAGCTTCTCAGCTGAGATTAAGTCTCTCTGTCACACCGAAGCCTCAGCACAGATATGTGGTAAAGCCGGTGTCGCCCGTCAGACTAAACCATCTCACAGTGACATGCAAAGGAACAGTGCCACGATGCACGCTTCAATTTGCGGGCATTGGGCGCGTAGATTCTGAAAGCACGAACTGAAGAAGAATGCCATAGTCTCGATTCTGGTGGTGGTGTTACTAGCAACGTTGTCATTCTTAATGCAGCAGTAGAAGACAGTCGTCGAGTAGGAGGAGGACAAGGAGGAAGATCAGCAGCAGAAGCAGCAGGAGCGGAAGTCAGTAGTTGTACGGGTTACCGGAGCAGTTCATGTGCCGAACCCCCCCTCTAATATCAAAATACACCTATTAGGTGTTGTTCATATTATATATGCAGCTATGTATATGTGTATATATATATATATATATATATATAGAGGCTTGTGTTGTGCTACATGCGCAATATGTCATACTGACTCGCCCCAGCCCCACAGGTTGCAGCAGGCGCCCATTTCGATGCGACGAAGGCCTCCGACCGACCGGAGCTCGGAAGATGCGATGTGACACCAAATGAATGCATACAGACATGTCAAACACGTTGATTGAATAAATATGTACACACACATATATATATATATATATATATATATATGTATATACATATACATATATACATATATACATATATACATATATACATATATACATATATACATATATACATATACATATATACATATATACATATATACATATATACATATATACATATATACATATATACATATATACATGTATAGTACATTATATGCACAGATAGATTTTTACTGTTACACGCACATATGTATGTATATATATATATATATATATATATGTACTTCACTTCGGCAAGCCGAGGATATGACGAGGCGCGCTTGTTCGTCGTTGAAGATCCGGCAAGGACAGGATTCTACTGAACGCCGCATGGTTGACGTTTCCTTGAAATGTTTCTGATTCCTGATGGCCAGGAGCCCATCAGACTCGACCGAAGTTCGGACGGGCTGCATGGTGCGCCTTCGCCTGGGGCAGTCCAGCCACGGCACAAGGCGAACCTTGGAATGGGGCTTTCAGCCTTCCTGTGTGGTCAAAAAGATGCTGAGGAAGTATCATGCTGCCCAGCTTGTCGCCATTTTCCAGGCTGTGCTTGAAAGCTCCGAGCGCTGCCGGAAGTCGATGTACTGCGGAAGACGAGGCCTCTGCCTGTCTCGAAACCCTGAAGCTTGAACGCGGAAACAACTAATCGGCGATAGAAAAGAAGCCAACAAAGCCTAAAGTCACTGGAGTCCCTAAACCCTTGGACCCTGAACCGTAACCCTAAAACCCTATACTGTAAAGCTGTTAAACTCCTAAAACCCTCACCCGAAGATCTTTGAACGTGCGAGCCTTCATTGCTCCGACCAGGCTCAAGAGCCCCTCATTATGCTCGTGGCTTTGCTGAAGGGAGCTGCACAGTACAGGGGTTGGAATAATTGCCAACATTCCTCCGTATCATTACTACAAGTCGTTCAAACAATGATTGCAATCCCTGATAGTCCTCATTTTGAGTTATGTGATAGGCCCGAAAACAAAAATTCAGGCCCCTATAGGTCATTTCCAAGTCCTAGTACATCTGGTGCCCTCGGGTTCAGGAGTTCGGGTCGTTTTTCCTTGGACTGAAACCTTGCAGAAGGGAACCATCCCTAAACCCAAAACCCTAAACCCTCAGAAATAAGCTCCGCAATTGTCTTCCGACGGCTTTCAGTATGCAATGAGGGGCCTCCAAGCTCGAAGCCTTGAGACAACCCCAAACCCTGAACCCCTAAAACCTAATTCCAAAAAAGCCCCAAGGCATTGATGCCCATAATCCAAGAGCGCGGTGCCCTGATAGTACCAATGAAAAAGTACCATTTGGATAGCCGAAAAGTTCAAAGTAAGGGCTAAGTAATGTACCCTTTTGGGTACCCCGGTACCCTAGTTGGTATACCTCTATAGCTCCCTCATGGTACCCGAAATGGCACCCTTACGGTACCTTAAATGGACCGTTAATCGCACCTTCAACAGAGCTCAAAGCCCAAGCCCCCGACGAACCTGCGACACCCGCCATATTCCCTAGGGCCTAACGACACAAGACGGCTTCTCTCTGAGGAGCATTGCCCTCATCGCGCTCAGGCTCGGTCACCGCATGCCAGCAGGATAGGGCTTAGGGTTCAAGCTTCTGGTTTAGGGTTTTCAAGGGCTTAGGGTCAGGGCATAGGGGCATAGGGTTTCGGGAATAGGGGTTTCATGAAGATGACCCTATCACTCCGGAAACCTCATGGGGTGCAGGTCGCAGCCAAGCTGCGGGCCCTCTTCCAGCAGGCAGTGGCCGATTCCTTCAGAGCAGGTGCAATAGCTCGGCCCTTCGGCCGCACTTGGCATCTGTTTCCTGTAGGGGCCTTACTAAGTAGAGTAGGGTATCGGGACCCCTTCTACTAATAAGTTAATAAGGAACCCCCAAAATAGCATAGGTAATCATCAAGGCCCCAATAGGATATAGTAGCCCTTATATACCCCCTTGTAAGGGAACCCCCCCAAAAATAGTATAGGTAATTATGAAAGCCCCTAGAGTCTGATTCCTCTCTGGCCCCTTTTCCTTGTCCCTAGCGACCTGGAGTCCCAGGCACGTTGCACCTGGAGGCAAGATTCCGGCAGTTTATAGCCTTATAAGGGGGCCTATAACTATAATGAGGCTCCTTGTTATATAGTTACAGTAGAATGGGCCCCAAAGCCTGATTCTTACTACTAAGGCCCCTAAATCATGATGTCGCGCGGTCGATTTCATCTCGCACGGATTCTTGGGGATGTGACGGCAACCCATCCGAGCCCTAAGCCCTAAGCCATGGTCCTGGATGCCAGTATAGGGAAGCTGTGGTGTGGTGGTCATCCCCGAGTGGCTCCCCGAACCACCCCTCCGCCAGACGTGGCATTTCAACTAACTTTCAGGCGGTTGAAAAAGAGGGTTCAAAAAAAAAAAAATAGGGTTTCGGGTACCAAGGGCCCTAAACCGCTGCTTGTGGAAGGCGAACGATTGGTGTCCCTGGCCGACGTGGCGGGGGTACGCAGACGTCTGATTGGAAGCTTCTGAACCGTCATGAGTCAAGTGACAGCCAATGCCGAGGCATTTCATTGCGAAAAAGAGAAATGGCGACAGGGTGTGCTAGTCCTTGACGAACATAGCGGTCGGATAGATAAGCATAAGCTAAACTTAAAATTGCCCCTACACTATCACATCCCCCAAAGCCCTTGTCGAACGAGTCAGGCCCCTTTGTTGGATTTTTGGCTGCTGAACTCGGCAACGATGACCCTAAACCCCAAATCCTAAACACTCACGACTTCACAGTTCATGGCATCCGTTTGGATGCAGGAGATGCCCTTCCTCGTCTCAGATGAACCTGCCGGCAGCTCAAAAATGTGCATTCTTATTCTTGCTGCTACTTGTCGGTACTACTCTTGTTATGGAGGGATGAGTTTTGAAAGGAGGTTCTTGCGAGTAGGTATTCTTCCAGTGGTGTATGTATGTATTCGCACAGAGTCTATCTGTGGGTGCATTTGCATTTATGTACGTATTATATGTAGACAGTCCGGCAACTCCTACCATCGGCATTGCTGTCATATTTGCATCCAGGAAGACAGCTACTGTATGAGAGCCGTACAGAGGTCATCATCGTCTTTGGCAGCGATGAGTCCTTCACGCAGGGCGCCCAGAGTACGTCGATCGTGCTGCAGATCTTGCAAGATCTTGCAAGGAAGTCGTGCACCCTGAGATGTCCAGTGAATGGTTTTCCGCCTAAGCCCCAAACCGCCCAAACGCCTTTTCGAGAAACTGTGGAACAGCCGCGACAGTGCTACGGTACCGAGGAACTCGCTGTCTCAAGTGGCAATGGAGTTTGGCGCCCGATCTTGATGCTGCAGACACTGTAGACTTCTGTCGATCGCATCTCGATAAGGCATTGCGTTTTCGCAGATTCAAGTTGCAAGCACTTCACATGTTCCACGATGCAGTCACTGAGGTTCGAGACGAAGACCACCATCTACTGGAAGCAGTGGCGCCAGCCCGAGCTCTTGGCGCTGCTTTGCAAAGTCGGCCCAGCCAAAGCTCCGAGGTGTAATAACCTCTGCTTGCCTGTGGAGTTCCAGCAGGCCGGTCCAGACTGCTGTCGCTGGGTTGCTCTTGCTACGAGGGTTGTGGGAGTAAAGGGCGATCTTGGGATTCATGGCGGCGTGTACCATGGGGCCGTGAGAATTCATGCGAGAGTTACAGTCGGGCAAGCTGGCGCAAGGTTCTTATGCGAGCAGCCATGACTCTCGCGATGAACCAGTCTGAGGAGCACGTCCCGGGCAAGAACGTAGCCTCCAGCTCATAAGGATTCTAGATTCTTTCGAGTGTGTTGTTGTCCCACTACTTATCACACGAATCATAGCTGTAATGATGACGCTGGCTACTGCAATGAGAGAATCTATCTATCCATTTATCTGTTTATCTGTATGTAAATGTAAATGCAAATGCAAATGTAAATGTAAATGTATATGTATATGTATATGTATATGTATATGTATATGTATATGTGCATGCATATGTATAGAACAATGTATGTTTTCAGGCTGGCGTGGTTGCTGATTGGTATTGTTACTGTGGCAGGACTGCGGAGGTTTCCTGGCGACCTTGTCCATGGGACTGCCTCTCGGGTACCTTCCTCGGCTTACGTGCAGCAGCAGCAGCAGGAGGTAGTGGCGGCAGCAGTAGTAGTACGAGTCGTAGTTGTTGTCGTAGTCGTAGACCACCACCACCACCACCACCACCACCACCACCACCACCACCACCACCACCACCACCACCACCACCACCACCACCACCACCACCACCCACCACCACCACCACCACCACCACCACCACCACCACCACCACCACCACCACCACCACCACCACCACCACCACCACCACCACCACCACCACCACCACCACCACCACCACCACTGCCACCGCCACCACTACCACCACTGCCAGCATTACCGCCGCTACCACCAATACCACCGCAACTTGTGGGACGAAGCGTCTGCAATTTGATCGCAGTTATCGTCGGAGGAGCCATTTTCTCCTGCTGTACTTGAGGCCCTTCTGTCCCTCGACTCGGGATTCGCGAGTATGCAGGCTTCTCGACGAGTGCTGGGACCCAAGGGCCCATGTCTCTGCGCAGTCTTCGAGCTGCTTCGTCGGGGGACCTGTTCGCAACGTGCAGAATATGTTGGATTGCCATGTTTCGCCCGATTCACCTGAAATCGTTGTGCTGTTCTGGTGCTCGAGCACCTTTTCAGTCCAAGATAATAATATAGAAGCCTAAAGCAATACTGATGTTCGTCCTTGGGGTTCCCAGCTGGACTATCTTTCCCTTTGCTTGTACCATGGTATGCCTCCTAACACCACTATTCTATTCATGAAGGCCCTTCTTATGTTAGTTCTACCACAAGGCTGCTGTAATGCAAGGCTCCCTAAACCCTACTCCCCCCAAACCGTGTGAGTCAGGTCTGGCGTTGCCGGTGTTGCGAGACATGGGGCTGCTGGACCTGTGCAAGAAGTTTCTGGGATTTGCGAAGGCCAGGGGTTCTTGCCGGATTACGCTTTCGGGAGTCTTCAGCCGAATCGACAAACATTGCCCCGATTGTCTCCGTCTCCGTAATTTGTTAGAGACTGCCCGATGGTTCCAAGGCCGTGGGGGTTGGTTTCTCCAGCATACAGCGGCCGTGGTGTTGAAAAACAAAACGGGTCACCAAAGTAACGGAGTGAAGGGCGCCTGAAGCTCAAGCCCCGCGTGCAGGAAATCTGCTACCGGGAGGAAGCTCCGCAGCATGTCTACAACTCTTGGGGTGCCCGCCTTAGCAAAGCTCCGAGGGCAAGCTGCAATGATTCTTCCTGCAGCTCTTCCGAACCAAATACCAAAAAACATACCCTAATGCCCGAATACCTTAATGCCCTAAGACACATAATACCCTAATAGACAAAATGCCCTGATACCCTAAATACCCGAATACCCAAAACACCCTAAATGCCCCAAATACCCTAAATACCCTAACACCCGAAATAAAATACCCGAAATACCCTAATATATACCCCGAAGAGCTGCATCATCGATGCTTCAAGGAGCTTCCCAGGACACGAAGCGCGAGTGCGGCCCCCAGGGGCTCAGCCAGGATGGCCCTAAAGTAAAAGCCAGAAAGTTGGAATATGATTATCCTAACCCTTCTATGGTATATTATAGGGTATCCTGCCCTGAAACCATATTCCAACTTTCTGGAGTTCCCTTTAAAGGCACAGAAACTACGCCCCATGCCCTAAACACGACAAGCTAAGCCCCTAAAAACCCTAAACCCCAAAGCACCACTAACTTCTAGAAGCTGAAACCCTCACCCTCGACCCAGAATCCTAAACTCACTAAATCCTCAAACCTAGTCCCAAAAATCTAAAGCCCGAACTCCACCCTAAACCCGAGGTCCTAAACTCCACCAACGTGGCGCAGGTATGCCCCCTACCTGGCTGGGTATCGTGGCATGGGCGAGGCCTGGCTTGAGCCTTCTTGCTTTGCGGATGGTAGGGTCTACCTAGGCTTTAGGGTTTGGGATCTCGGCTAAAAGGTTCAGGGGTTAGGGTTTATGGGGTTATAGGGGTTTAAGGTTTAGAAGGTTTAGAAAGATTTAGATGGGTTTCGAGCGGTCTTGGTAGTCTTCGTCCTGGTCACTCATATTATTAAACACCACAACTTGTTGGGTTCTGTACAGCCTTTTGCCCGAGAGATCCCATCAACCCCCGGAAAACCTTCCTTTATGGAAACCTGTATAACCTTCACGAAACCATTGACAAAACCACACAAAACCGTGGTGAAGCCCTTTCTTATGAACCCCTTAAAGAAACCCCCTTAGTAGAAGCCTCTCCGTCTGAAGCCATGAATTGGTTCCCTTAATGGGAACCCTTGACGGAACCGCTGAAGGGAACCCTCAAGAGGTTCTCTTGAGGGAACCCTTTAAGGCATCCCTTAAAGGCGCTCCGCCTTCAAGGGAATCCTTACCGGTTCCCTTGGGGCCGCGGTGGCAGGTGCACCGGGGTGGCATGCTGCTGGAAGATCACTTCCTCGACGAGGCACGAGACGCCAAGGTTAGCAAGGCCCAGAAACTACGAGTGTAGGGCTTAGGAAGGGTTTTAGGGGTCAGGGTTTCGGAGAGTGCGCCAATTTTCCAGAACTTTCCAGGAGCTTGGGCTTTCGGGCTAATTATGGTTCTAGGGTCTAGGGCTAATTATAGTTACAGGGGTTGGGCTTAATTATGGTCGTAGGAATTGGGCTGTAGGGTTAATTTAAGCTATAGGGTTTAGGGTTATAGCTCTAGGGTTATAGGGATGAAGGGTTTGATGTTGCAAGTTGCTGGGTGTGGGGCCACGTCTGTCCTGTCATGTGCTGCAGCCATGGATGCCCTTTGCATTCATCTCGTCGCTTGTTTTGGCTCTGAGTGCTTGGCTTGACGTTTCATTCCTCTCGGGCGTGCCAGCAGACTGCTAGGACTGGGCATCAGTATCGCCCGCCTGCGTGCATCGACCCTTACATGCCGCCGTGCAGAGTCACTGAACTCGAGCCCTAAGCCAGAAACCCTAAAGCCCTAAAGCCCAAAGCTCCAAAGCCCAAAGCCCTAACGCCCTTTGTTAATTCCGGAGTCCCAGAACAAGATGCGGCAGGACTCATGGCTAAGAGAAAGGCCACTCCTTTGGACACTCTTCCGCCCATTTGCGGAGGTGCCGTGGTCACAAGCGTTGTGCCTTGGATACAGTCCCAACCTGGAACAGGGTTTAAGGTTAGTGCTGGGTTTACAGTTGAAAACACTGCATTAATCCTTTTACCCTAGAGCCTTAGGGTTTAGGGGTCCGTATTGGGGCCTGACATGTGACAATGTGCTTCGCGCAAGTTAAGGTGATGTATCCGGTGGACGTGGTGCGTGCCATCTGCACCTTGCCCTGCACAGTCTTTCACTTCGCCCGACTGCTGCAGTAGTCTACTGCATGGTTTCAACTGAGCGATGGCATGAAACATGATTCCCCTTGACCCCAGGACCTAAACTTCAACATCCCGGGCTCTACCAGACTGCAACCTCAGCCTAAATCCCCATACCCGAAGTGGCGCAGCTGTGCTTGCGATCGAAGGTATGGCCAACCCCGGAACAGGGGCGGGAGAAGCACTGAAGGGCTTCCTCCAGGCACCGTCGGCGTGGTTTCGTGTTCAGAGTCCTAGCTTTGTGTTACGGAAGACGAGGGACGGTGACATCAAGGACGCTGGTCTTCGCTTTTCCCGGCCACTTCTGATTGACGGCCAACAGGAGAAGTGTTGGTATTGCTTGTGTTGCCTTCTGCTATCTGCGACTGTTCTGCTACATGAACGCTAAGCTATACTTACGCACAAGCACCGAGTCCTCAAACCTTACCGGAACACGATGCGAAAGCCCTGAGCAGCAAGTTCTTAGGCTTTATAGCCTTAGTTATGTTATGTGTTTTCGTGAACCTTAAACCTGAACCCCTAAACCCCCGCCCTATTCCGATCAACACAAGTGGGGAAAAGGGGCCGTAAAAAAAAGAAACCCTGCCCTAACCCCTGGACCCAGACTGCTGAAGTTTCCTTACCTTTGGTTAGTGGGGAATGGAAGAATGGTAGTAACAGTAGTTATAATTGTACCCCATTCCTCCATTCCCTACTAACCAAAGGTAAGTTTCCGGGGTCAGGCCCACGGCGTCATGGGCTTTGTGAAGCAAGGCCTGGTGGCCGAAGTCACGAGGGCTTCCATCTCCCGAGCCATCAAGCGGCCCGACTTGGACTTGGGTAGTTTTGAAAATTATGGCCCCTTTTGGGGTACCCTAATAACTAATAGGTGCCGTACTATATTCGGGAACCAAAAGGGACCATAATTTTGACAACCACCCACTTGGTTTACGGTTTAGTTCAGTAACATGAGGTAGCATAAAGTAGCATTGCAAAATGCAGCAGTTAATGTCAGTAAAGCATAGCGTAGCATACTGTAGTATAGTATAACATGGTATAATGTACTAGGATTTAGCATTCTGGAAGGTTTACCGCTTCTTTATTGCTACTGTTGTGGCCCTAAACCCTTAAACCCCTAAACCCTTAAACCCTTAAACCCCTAAACCCTAAACCTGCCAGCCTCGATCTGCCCCCTCGTCCGCCCAGGTTCTTCATGCAGCCCATTGTCGAGACCTTACTGCCGTTCGGGGTGCTTCTCCAAAGCCTGAACTCCTGAAACCCCTGAACGCTTTCTGCCCGAAATGGGCGGGGGGACGCGAGAGATCGTGCAGACGCCAAAAGGCCCTCAAAAAGAAGACGCTGAACCCTTAAAGCCTAAACCTCTCTCAGGTGCACAAGAACCTCTACGGCAAGCCGGAGACCAAAGGCACTCCTGTGAGCAAGGCACCCTGCTTGTTTTGAGGTTCCTTACTATAGTTATAGTATACTATCCATCCAAACCCTATTCTGACCACTAAGGCCCCCATACGAACGGTTAAGAGACTTTGCTGTACTGGAATATTTTAGAGCATAGTCTGGTCTAGTCGAGTCGAGCAGAGCAGAGTGGAGATAGGTTCATCTGACTATATGGGTGGTTGCCAAAATTAGGGTGCCAAATTATAATCGGGACCCAAAAGGGACAATATTTTTGACAACCACCCATATAGTTTGGCTTGGTTTTGTTTCGTATGGTTTAGTGTAGTCTAGCATCAAACAGCGCAGACGGGCTATGCCGAGATGCTGTCCAGGCATTCCCGAGGGGGATCGTCAACAGAGAACTGTTTGGAATCACGCAGTGCATTGTCCGGAAAGACAGAAAGACAGTGTTCAGGGTTTAGCTTACCGTGCGCCAGAAGGTACCTATTCCATCACTGCACTGCCACCGCATGCCCAATCCTTCCCGGCACGAGTCCCCTTTTGACCGATTCCTGTTGTTCTGCCCTAGGACTCGCGCCCCTGGATTTTGGTCGCGTCGTTGTTTCCTGCTCCTCATCACTCCTAATCATGCAGGTCTCTTCATCTTCGCCGGTGCTTGCACGACCTGGCAGTAGCATGGAGCGTATCATCTAGCTGTCTACGCCTGTATCTGTTTATAGATACACACCTCTAAACTCTATAAACTCTAAACACTATAAACCCTTTAAACCCCTAAACTCTAAACCCACACATGTTGCAAGCTGGCCAGGGCCTGGCCGGTGCGATTGGCACCTTTCCAGAGGCCCGACGAGTTTTTGCTCTAGGGCATAGGGGGTGTAATACGGGGGCCTTAATCATTCGTATAGGGTTCCCGAAAAGGGTCCCTTGGGGTACTATAAGGGTCCTATGATATAGGGGCCTTAATCATTGGAATAGCGTTTTGGGGCCCATTATACTATCTTCATGGTAAGGAGCCCCCAAAATAGTTTTGGAAATTATCAAGGTCCCTATATTAGGGTTTAGGGTGCGTGGTTTAAGTTTAGGGTTGAGGGGTCAGTGAGCTGTTGCAGATCACTGTGCTCAACTTTGAGACAGGTCCTGGCGATCTCACCGTTGGAGACGCTCGTTGGCAAAAGTCGTTGCGTAGGTGTGGCATGCGAAGTCCAGCGTTTGTACTCTTATCTGTTACAGTACTACTGATTCTCTCCGCATTGCCTTGATGCGAGTACGAGCCCGATCCCGGATACTTTAGCGCACTTGTGAGATGGTGCATTCTCTTGTAAAGCACGTCATGGCTTGCGATCTTTCACGATGTAGGGGCCTTAATAATTAGAACAGGGTTTTGGGGCACACTATACTATAGATAGAATAAGGAACCCCCCAAATTGTATTTGGCCAATGATTTGGGCCCCTATATCATAGAACCCTACTACAGATCCCTTATAGACCCCTTTCAGGAACCTTTTAACGGACCCCCCCCCCCCCCAAATAGTACAGGTAACTATTCAGGCCCCCAAATTGTATCCGTATAATAGCTCTTATGGTAGCCCTTATATACCCCCTTTGAGGAGCCCCCAATATAGTATAGGTAACGTATCCTGGGCTTGAGAAAGCAGCACAAGGAACATCAAGCTGGCAGCCCAGCTGGACAAGGAAGGAAGGTTTAGTGGATCTGCCGCTCAGCTGCCCATGTATATATATATATATATATGTATATGTATATGTATATGTATGGTATGTATATATATATATATACATATATATATACATATACATATATATATATATATATGTATATATATATATGTATATATATATATATATATATATATATATATATGTTCGTACTTATAGTTATATACATTGGTCTATTTATGTACTTATTATATGTGGGTTTATTTATGCATTTATTAAATGATATCGGCCCACCAAGAAAAGACCTTCAGGGTAGTCGTGCTACTAGGTAGGAAACAGAACGAGCAACACGGACACCACGACGAAGGACGGTAGCGGGAACACCAAAAAGACGCGATTGAGATGGAGAGCATGTGAACGCATTTCGATGACAGCACCCGGTCAAAGCGAAGCAATATCAAGGAGAATGCCCACAATAGTTGTCTTGGGAGTAGCGGATTTCGGTCTCTCGCGGTAGTGAGAGCGATCTGGTAGCAGCAGCAGGAGGATGATAGGGAGGAAGGGGATGATCCTGGCGGGAGGGGGAGGGGGAGGAGAAGTCGTCTTACTTGCAGCAGCGTACACTTGTAGCAAGATGTATTCATGTGATCTCGGGTGCCATCGCTATCATAATCGGCTTTGGCATGTTTGGAAAACCATGACCACAGCTTGTGCATACCTGCGGGCGGTCATGTGTGCCACATCTTCTGAGCTCGTGAACCACATAGTACTCAGGACGAGTTTGTACATTAGCCATGCGCTCTACGCACTTTTCTCTGTCGAGTGTCTCCTGCTCAACAGTAGCGATGTGGCTCCCAAAATGCTTTCAAGCATGGTACCGTGACTCCTCGTTCCTGTTGACAAGAGATGTTTCATCTAAAACCCTGTACTACAAAATCAGGTATACTTGTACGATTTTTTAATGCATTATACTACATACAGTATACAGTTGTAACAAAAATCCCTCTCCCAGGCCGACATCGCGAAGCACATTTTGAAGACCCGAGGCTTCAACGGTCTGATGATTGGCTATGCCGGCATGCAGGTCTGGAGCTCGCGCTTTCCCAAAGGGGTTCCTTTCAAGGGCTTTGTTGGTTTAAGGTTTAGGGTTTAGGGTTGTTGTTGGGTATCATAAAGCATTATCCGGGACTATTATAAGGGGTTATGAGGGCTCAGGCTTTAGTTGAACTTCTCGACTTGCCGCAGGCTTCGTGATGCAAAGTGAAGCAAAAAGCGAATCTAATCTCGCTGAAAGTCGGCCCAAACCGTAAACCAAAACCCTCACCCCCTAAAGCCTAAAGCCCAGGCCCCATCGTGGAAGACCCGTCCCTTGCAGGTGCGGCAGTGCTTGTGGACTGGTGGCTTCTTCCTGACGCTAGACCTCTACAAGGGGTGGGTTCCGGCCTGAGCGTCCGGTTGTTGAAACGGCAAGCATTCGCTGGATCCTCTACTGAGAACCTAGTAGTAGAGTAGGTAACCTTAAACCTGTTCTGGGTAGTATAGCCCCTATATAATCCCTGTATAACCAAAAAGGTTAACCTTTATTTCCCCATGATACCCGACAAGTAGGAGAAAATCTGGAGGAACAGCGACGAATGATGCTCTGCCTGAGGTCAGCAGCGCCGTCTCGAATAAACTCGCCCAGGCATGCGGGTTGGCGGCGCATGTCAACATTAATATTACTATCAACACGAATACGAACATGACTAGTAATACTAACATTACTAGGAATACTAGTACTCTCAGCTACCCCTAAATCTAAACCCTGAACCCTATAAACCCTAAACCCTATAAACCCTAAACCCTTGGCATTTTGGCAGGATGTGTTGTCTGGCTTCGCTGCCGGGGCTACTGGAACTGCCATGAACTGCTGGACCGACGTAGCTTGGCCGGCAGTCGCGGATGCCGGGCAGTATAGGGGCCTAAATAAATACCTATATATACTATTTTGGGGGGTTCCTCATTATAGTTATAGTATAATGGACCCCAGAACCCTATTCTAGTTATGAAGGCCCCTACATTAGGTCCTCTCTTTGGAGACGTCTTGTGTTCAAAGGTCTGCCGCTCCATCGTGCAGAAGAAGGATCGGACAACATGCCTGCACGGTCCAGCATGATACATGTCGGTAGTGTAAGCATGCTGAGGATGATGATATTCGCATCTGGATGATCGAAATAGTTGCCATTGTTATCATTGCGACCATAACTTTCCTTTGGTTAGTAGGGAATGCAGGAATTCTTCCATTCCCTACTAACCAAAGGTATGATAATTACCCATGTAGGGGAGCCTCCAAGCCGGAGGCCTTGGCGGATACCTTCGACCCCTCCATTCCAAGGCCGGAGCTCGTAGCAAGGATAGCAAGGATGACGCCACGGCTTTCTGACGGCATAAGAACAGCAGTGTGCGGAAGAAACGAATGTGGTCGACATCACCATGACAGACTTGTCCTGAGTCCTCCTTGTCTTCATTATCCGTTTTCTCATTCATGTCCCCGTCCTCCTCCTCCTCCTCCTCCTCCTCCTCCGCCTCCGCCTCCGCCTCCTTCTCCCCATCATACCGTAGTCATCCGCATCATCATACAATCAATATGGATGGTGGCCATTATCACTTTCCTCATGCTGCCACATCATCACCATGATCATTGTAACCAGTACATGTCGGATAGTTATCATCACCACCATCCTCCTGAACACCCCTCCTCCTCTTCCTCATCACCATCATCCTCCTGGACCCTCCTCCTCCTCCTCCTCCCCTCCTACTCCTACTCTTCCTCATCACCGTCATCACCATCAGCAGCAGAAGGATGCCTCCTCCTCGTTCAATGCTTCCTCAGGCCAAGCATGCTGGCACCCTACAATCCCGTGCCCTTCTTCTCGGAGGCATGGATGACAAAAGCCGAGTAAAGTGGGTGGTTGTCAATATTAGGATCTTTTTTTGGGTCCTTAACATCATACGGCACCTAATACTTAGGGTCCCTTTTTGGGTCCTTAATATAATACGGCACCTTATATTTAGGGTACCCAAAAGGGTACCCTAATTTTGACACAACCACCCAAAATAGAACCACTGCGGGATGCAGATGTGGAGCAGTCCCGAGCTTCCGCAGGCGGCAAACCTTGCCACCACCAAGGGCATCGGAAGCTTGGTGAGACATTAGAAACATTCCTTAAATCATATGAGGGATCCTACTATAATTTAAGGTATATTCCTTAATCAAGGGATATCGACAGATCGGCTTCTTCCATCACCGGCGGCTGGTGCCATGACCTGCCTAGCATTCCGAGTCTTGCTGTGCAGTTCAGGGTGCTGGACGCACAGCCGGAGACACCCTTCCTACTAGGATTGTGCGCTTGCAAGGTCAAGCCGCCTGTAACGTTAAGTGGTTATGAAACCCCTCGAGCTGTTCCGAGTCGGGGCGCTTTGTGAGACCATATCCTGCAAGTCGCAAAACACCTAATGTTGGGGGCCTTAAATTTTTCCCTCTAGTATTCTGGGGGCTCCTTATTAAGATTATATTATAGTATAATATAACCCCCAAACCTTGCCCCAAACCCTATTCTAAGTGTTAGGGCCTCCAATATTACAAACCCCTTCAACCCTTAATCCCTCAGGCGGCCTCTACGCGGGTGTTGGGCCCAAGATGGTCCACCTTGGCGGAAGCGGGGCCATTTTGGCCGTGCTCATGCCGCGCTTCAAGACCATGTGGCCCCTCGGCCCATGGATCAGAGGCCTCAAAAGTCAAAAGGTGGGATGAAGGTAGGTGGGATATTCCCAATCAAGAGTCCGTGTATAAAGGATCCTTCATCCTACCCACCTTCATCCCACCTTTTGAGGCCTCCGACTGGAAGAACTCTATGGTTCTGGGATTCTGGGGTTTAGGAGTTTAGGGTTGAGGGTGCAAGTTCAGGTTTAGGGTGTAGGGGTTTAGGGTTTATAGGGCTTGGGGTTTAGGTGTAGGGTGCAGGATTTCGGGTTCAGGGACTACTTCTTACGCTTTTGGATGTAGGGTTTAGTGTTTTGAGTTTAGTGGAGCCCCATGCCCATAGGCGTACGAAGAGACTGCAAAACACCTTGATAAAGGAATAGTCCTTAAATCATAGCAGGATCCCTAATATGATGTAATCAATATGCCTTAACTATGGGATATTGGAGTCTCCGGGTTCGCAGACTGCCAACGCAGCAGATGGGAGTTTCAGAAGATGGTGAGCATGTCATTTACTCTCGAAGCACTGGGATCGTCTGCTCGCGGATCAGAGAGTATCTTAGGGTAGTCTGCAGTATGATCTAAGCACAAGAATGAGGTCTATGCAGACACATACTACATATGCATATAGCTTAATGTAACATAATAGGGCTCTGTAATTTCAGACGCTGTCAGATCCGCCGCCTCCCCCAGGTTTGACATGATGGGGCTCGAGTGAGCGCCACGTCTGCAAGGCCGGGATTCCGGGATGGTGCTGGGAGCTGGGCCAGGTAGGGTTTAGGATGTGGGGTTTGGGGAAGTCTAAGGTCCAGGCACGTCTGGGGTTTAGGATGTAGGGTTCAGGGTTGGGGGCTTGAGATTTAGGCTAGGGTCAGGGCTCAAGACGTACGATTGAGGGTTAAGATGCAAGGGCTTGGTGTAGGATGTGGGGTTTGGGTTTCAGGGCTCAGGGCTTAGGGGTTGCAAAATATTCACGACAGGAGCCCAAGCTGAAACCCTCAGCCCCAAGGCAGCCTCCAACCTACAAAGCGGTTCGGAATGTTTCGCTGACAAACAAGAGCTCTTGCGTTTTTCTTGCGCTTTCCATCCGGACATGTGTGTGTATGTGTCTGTCTGTCTGTATGTATGTATGTATGTATGTCCACATATCTGTCTATTTCTACATCTGTCGTATGATTTGCCCATGATCAATGACCCCAACCCAAAACCCTAAACCCCGAAACCCTTAACCCCAAACCCCAGAGTTGGCATTTCGACTAACCTACCGGGCTGTTGGAAAAGAGGGCATAATAAAAAAAAACCAAAACCCTAAACCCCTTGCACCCCCTAAGGGTCCCTGTGAGTTAAGCAGACCCTGGGACCCGGGCAGGCTGCTTGGAAGGCGCTGTTGCCGAGTTGGAGACTGGGCATCTTGGCCTCAGACGCTTGGGACAGTGACGGCCCGTCAGAGTAGGGTTTAGGGGTTTAGGGTTTAGGGTTTAGGGAGTAGTATAAATATATAAATATATATATATATATATACATATACATACATATATATATATATATATATATATATGGGTGGTTGTCAATATCAGGGTCCCTTTTTGGGGTCCTTATTGTAACCACATTTTTTGACAACCCCCCATATATATATATGTATATATATATAGATAGATATACATATACATCTACATCTACATCTACATCTACATATACATATACATATACATATACATATACATACTATATATACATATACATATACATACTACATACATATATATATATATATATATATATATATATGTATGTATGTATGTATGTATGTATGTATATATATATATATATATATATATATGGGACCCCTCTTTGGCTTCATGATAAGCTCTGCTTATTTTTGCTCATGTCCTTCCTTGGGGTGAGGGTACCAAGGTACTGTGGGTGTAGGGTTTTGGGGATTTAGGGTTCAGGGGTTTAGGGTTTCAGAGAGCCTAAGGCCTAAGGTAGCAGGATACTTTGGGTGTAGTGTGAGGTTAAGGGCCAAGGACCTAGGGGTCAGGGTTTAGGATCCAGCGTTCTCGTCGCACCAGCTCTATGTCGTGGTGAGAGGCTGTCCCAATGTTTCAAGGACCATGGATTTATGCGCAGAATTTCAGCCATCACGCTGCTTCTGAGGGCTTGGAATTCGTACAAGCGTGCTCGAAGCCCGCAGCGAACGAAGCTGCCGCGATAGTTTCCCCTTTTTAATTATGACCGAGGCTCGAGAGGAATCCAAGCTTGCTTAAAAAGGCTGCGTTGGTTGCACTCTGCTCGAGCCTTGCCATTCTGCGGCAGTTCGGGTACCTCTGGAAATGAACGATGCCAGGAATCCGATGCTTGGCCGTCACCATCTTATCCGCCTTGGAGGCAGCAAATCCTGACAATTCGTCGATTTCCCGGGCTCGAGGCAAGCGGTCATCTACGGATTGTGCGATGCTCAGATGCGAGCTGCTGATGCGAGCTGAATTGTTTCCTTAAGCCATAGCCCTAAACCCCAAACCCCTAAAGCCCCTTAATCCTAAACCCTAAGCCCGTAACCCCAAACCCCTAAACCCTAACATCCCGACGCCCCCTAGTAGCCCCGAAACAAGGCTGGCGATCTCCCTAGTGCACGCCTTCTTTGACATCCGCTTATCTCAGGAGCCTTCTTTGGGGCCCAGGGCCGCGTACGTAGCTGGCCTGGGTTGATAGGGTTTCGGGTTTAACGTTCTGGGTGCATGTTTGGTTTCGGGGGGGGGCAAGGGTTTAGGCCTGTCTAGGCTTCCTTTCTTATGTTGGCTGGATCTAGGGTCGGCTTCCACTCAGGTATTGCTTTGTAGGAGGTTACTGTAGCAAGGACACTCAGATGGAAATGTGATGCCAAACTCATGGTAGAGCCCGGCAAGACCCGAAATCTAAGCCCAAAGCTTTAAACCGAAACCATAAAAAAGCCTAAGCTTTAAACCCCCGGGTCCTAATTCTCGTTACACTTATCGTAACCCTTATAGAACCCTTGTCGAATCCTCATGCTACCCTTGCAGTATATACAGTAGAAGCCCAAAAGTTGGAAACCCCATAGCCTCAATCCTGAAGAGCAATGTCTAGGGAATCCCGGCACTATTCGGCCTTAATCCGGTTTCCAACTCTGTGGGGTTTTTGTAGTACCCTGAAGACCCCTTAGCTCCTCGGCATGATAAATGACAGAAGGAGCTTTGCACACCACAGCTCTGCGAAAAGCTGGAGCACGAGTCTTAGCTTGCCGAAGGTTTTTGAATTTCAGGGTTTCGGGGTTTAGGGTTTTAGGGTTGAGGGCTTTGTGGACTTTAGGGTGCAGGGTGAGGGTAGTGGGTTTCGTTCGTCGAGTTTTCGGGGCCTGAAGCTTTAGAGGGCCTGTGCAGCAGGAGTTTTCTACACACCGGCCCGGGCGAGTGCCCTGATTTCACAATCCCTCCGACATGAGTATCGGTACCTTGGAAGGCTTTACGCCCAGAAGGCCTGCGCCGCGTTTGCCAACAGGCATGGGAAGAAGCCTTTTGCTGGTACGCTACCTAACCCAAGAGTGCTGCTTGTTTTACGCTTGAGCACAGCTGTCAGGTGCCAGATGTACAAAGCATATCCTGTGTCCGACCAAGTGGGCCAGCAGCAGCCTCAGAGATGCGCAGACTGCATGTTCCTCAGGTCTGATGCGAGTTGCTGCAGGTGTGCTGTACTGGTGACAAACCAGTGTTGGTGCCATCAAAACGCGGATCACATTGCAGTAGAATTTGAGACGAGGAATGCCAGTTAAGAGTGCTGGCGAGAATGAATTCGGAAAACTAACTTCCATGAGCTCTTTGAAATTACTTGATTGTTTCATGCAGCACGAACAGATGATGATGGTGAGAGTCTACAACATGATAGCAAAGGTGTCAGCAGAAATGACGAGACAGCATCAACTACATCGCACATTCTTGTGGGAATTGAAATCATGTCACCACTCATACTGAGATTCAAGACACAGATCAGCAACATGTATAGTAATTACGTATGTATGTATGTATGTATGGCGATGGCCATGATGAGCTTAGTCACGACGAACAGCGCGCGGCAGTGACAACACAGGTAGTCATGCGGATTGTGATTCTGATAGTGCTGCAGAAAGCAGTAGAAGTCATACCAGTAGCAGGACAACAAGACCATCAACAGCAGTCGCGATATTTTGTGTGTCAGCCTCCTTTGCTGCCACCACAGTTCAGCCACAACAAAAGCAAACAGAACCACTGGGCTCTAAAGGACCTACTGAGTACTACTACTGAAGTCTTAAGCTCTTGCAACGCAAAGCCAAGAAGCCCTAAACAACCCAAAACCACCGAATGGAATGGTCCCTCAACTAGACAAGGGAACCCTAAGCCGCAATGCCTGAGCCAGAACCGCTTGAAGCCGCAAAGTGGGTAGTTCTCTGCTTTTGGGGCCCTGTTTATAAGGGTAAAGAGGACCCTAATTCAGAGAGAACTACCCATAAGATAGGGGCCTCAATAATTGCCAGTACTATTTTGCAGGTTCCTTATTATAATGTAGCGGGCCCCGACCCTGTTCTGATGATTAAGGCCCCATAAGGCCCCTAGATCAGAGTACCCTTAATCCTTATAGGACCCTTTTAAAGGAACCCTATTCTAATTATGAAGACCCCACATTGCCCCAAAGCGAGGACGCGACTTCCTCTTGGAGCAGGCAGTGGCATGTCGGCTGCCGAAGCATGCGACAGAGAGGTTTGGTGCCGTACTATAGAGGCTTTAATTAATTTCTATACCATGTTGTGGGGCTGCGTATCTTACGTGTAGTACAATGGGTCCCAAAAACCTATTCTAATTATTAAGGCCTCTATATTGGGATGTTGAGTCTTTGTTTTGTGACTTTAGGGTTTAAAGGCTTCTAGGGTCTGGGGACAAGGTGTGGGAGTTGGGAGAGAAGGTTTGCCTTAGGGATAGGGTCTTGGGGATGAGGGGAGAAGGGTTCAGGGCCCAGTGAACCCAGGTCTGCTTATGTCATAGGGTTATGCCTTTCATTTTGTCTCAGTGTGGGACGGACAGTCAGTTGCGCAGGCTTCTTCGATGACGATTTGAACTTCTTTGTCTGCGAGGCTACTGCTGAGTTGTTCACTGATTCACCCCGTCTAGTCCAAGTCTCTAAGGGCACCCCGAGGACTCACAAGTGTCGGGGCCACTGTGGCTACTACTATCACGACCATTGCTTTTTTACGGTTACTATCAACGGGAAGGTGGAGCGATTTTTGCAAATCAAGGAGCGATTTTTGCAAATTAAGGATGACAGAAATTAAGGATGACAGCAGCGTCCTAGGATTTCGGAGATACAAGACTCCAACAGCGCCGTGGTTCAGGTTGTAAGGAAAGTGGAAAGGCTTCCTCCAATAGTTTGCAGTTCATTGGCCAATCAGTGTCGATAGTGCATACATGACACAGACCTGCCTTTAGTCAAACTTTAGTCCAAAGAAGTAATGCAGGCGGAACGACGGCAGATCCTCGGGTGTGCTTTCAAGACTTGTAGTGCGGGCTATATGTCATTATGTCACGTCCTGCACATACTAAATACATGCGTACATACATACACATAATCTGTGCATAACTCGCGAGGACTACACGCGCCCGTATGATTCTACTCTGTGTGCAGACGTGCGAATGTGCAGGGTTTCGTGGAGAAATGGAGACATCCCGTACTACGAGTTGGATTAGCTTGCACGACATCACATTACGTTATGTTGCATGACATTCGTCCTTCGTTATTAGTGCATTTCGCGAGAAGGGCAGACATAAGTGCGTGAATGTTGGGCATCTTCGTGATGACGAGTCGGGTATCATTTGGAGAAAAAATGAGATCGTTGGTAGTTAGCTGTTGTTGGAGATAGTCGGTCCACCTTTGGGTGATCCATCCATGAATTCATCCATGCATCCATCCATCCATCCATACCTACTTGCATAATTACATGCCGACCTGCACGCATGTATACGTGCACATGAATGTGGATACATGGGCACATACACACACAAACAGATTGTCTACACACCTTTGTATATGCCTATATGCATCCGCTCCAGTACTGCATCACAAAGCGTCCTTTGGCAGGGACCCGATGACCAGCTCCACTCGGACAGCTCGTCCGTCCACACCCTGACGTCGGTGCTTTGCCCGGGCCTTAGCGAATGGAAATGGGGGTTTCCGAAAATTAGGGATACCTTATTCTGCTACTATTGAGGGTACCATATTATAAGGGTCCCCCATTTTCGGAAACTCCCAAATGGGTTTAGAGTTTAAGGTGTGTGTTTATGTGTCTGTCTACATCTAGTCGGCTTGTGCATGAACGAAGACGCTGTACACCGCATGCACTCTGGAAACGTTGGATGTGTGGTTGACTGCGATGGAAAAGCATGTAGGACATAAGAATGCCATGCTGCACAATATCGGGTGAGTGTGTTACACAGGAGCTAAGAATGGAATCGTCGGCCTTCGAATCTAACTGTATACTAGCAGGACAGTGCGCAAAAAGCAGACGCACAAAGCTCCCTTGCTGCAGGCTGGGCGGCAGCAGATCGGCTCCATCGAGTAGCCCGTAGCTAAGAGTCGGCAGCGAGATCCGGCAAGCGGTCTAGGTTTTTCGGTTTTAAAAACCCTAAACCCTAAAACCTTAAACTGAGAGAGAGGTTGATGACGGTATCGCGATCGCATTTTTGACGATGGGAGTCTGCAACATGACCCTAGGCCGCGCACTACTTCAGGGATCCCGATCGCGCGGAACATTGGCTGCTCGGCGTCCTTTGAGCCGTCTTTCCTTCGTTACTACAAGTCTTGTTACCACTGTTACTACTACAGCTATTGTTACTACCACCTTTTGGTTTTATTGTTATTTATGTCTTCTGTCATCATTGCTTTCCTTCTCAGGCAGCGGCAAGCCTTGGAAATTCACGAGGTGGATCGGAAAGGGTAGTTGGGGCGATGAGCGCTGGATGCGGGCTCTGTAATCTAATTATATATATATATGTATGTATGTAATTTAGTATGTAAGTCACAATACAAATCTATAATATGTGGTATTTTGTATGAGCCCCGGTTCAGGAGATTTGCCGACAAGCTTGGAACCCTGCACGAGGCTGGATGCTGAAGCTTGTACCAGGCGGCCAGTCTATCTCCACACTCTGTCGGAGGTGCTTTCACCACCGTTTGGGGTGGCACCAAGGACGCCGACTCGGCATTTATCGAGAGGGTCATGGCAGCAGAGAGCCCTCAGCCACAGAGGTGGGGCCATCCGTGCTTCGCTTGGCCGAGCTCGGATTCATTTCACCAGAGGTGGGCCGGGATTTGAGTCGAGTCGACTTGATCTACCTCTGAGGGTGCTGAGCTGCTTTAAGGATTTAAGGTTCTTGTTAAGAAGCCCAGATCTTATAAGCCTTGGCAGCATTGAAGGTAGGACACGCGTAATGTTCAATGCAACGGTATCTGGTCGGTTGTGTCATGCCCTGGAGACTGCTTTTTGTTGGCTCTTTTCTTCAATGCCCCCGAAGAGGACGCCCGCTTTCGTGGGACTGTGCGTGCCTTCGAAGCCGATGCAGATGGGCGCTCAGAAAGTCTTGGGCAGTTGCTTGTTGGATTTTTTTTTTTTTGAGTTTTGCGCTTCCGAGGCGTTGTGTGCGAGCTGCTTGAAAGGAACAGATGGGGAAGTACTTGGCGAGGTGCCTGCAGCCATGCGTCGCCAGAGTTGGTGTTGATAGGTATTGGACGGATGTTCACTTTGATCCCGTTTCTGCAGACTTTCCATGGAGATTCTTCGCGATTTCCAAGGGTCCAAGAGCAGTATGAATAGTCCCGCGATGGCCTCCCGACAGCGACGACAAATCCGACCACGTGATGATGCCCTGATCAATGTGAAGTCCGACGCAATCACTCAACAACGGGATCGACTCCTAGCATGGGCTTCCAGGTTCTTAGCCTCCCCCTCGTCCTCATCTTGACCATCATGAATCATGAACAGCTGCACCCTCACCCTTGCTGTCAGCAATCAGCAACCTCGAACGTGTTCTACTAATGATCTCAAAGTGTTCAGTTCCGTTGATGCCTCGAAAGTCATGGCACCAGTGATGCAGCGATGATAGCAATCGCCACCGACAAATGTAGACAAGCGTGTTTGCAGAATCAATACCCCAGTGCGAGCAAGCTTGCGGATTGCTACACTACACCATGAAGGCCTATACGCCCCCAAGCCATGTTAGAAGCCAAACATCTGGAGTATGCCCCAAGATCGTCCCGGGACCTCCCGGCTGTTAGGAGTCAATTTTAACGGCCTTCGCCACCTGCTTCACGACAAATACTTTGTGGATGCCTCAGAGATCCATCGGCTAAGATCGAACTTACGACGTCATAAAAAGGGGTTTCAACAATTACCTACACTAGTTCGCGAGTTCCGTATCAGAAGTCTAGTACAAGGGGACCCGAAACCCTATTCTAATTATTCAGGCCCCTATAGCAAGATCGAACGTGCGTCATTCCTTGACGTTTTTGCAAGCGGCATCGAGCTCCAGGTTGTTCTGAATGGCTGCCGCACACAAGGTCATGTATTGTCAATACATAGATGATGTATACATGTATATGTACGCGCACCCACATTATTGGCGTTTAGTGTCTCTTTCCTTGCATCTCTTTCTGAGCTGATGCTGCCGCCCAGGCTTTGGTATAGCGAGGCGCTTCGCAGTATCGGAGCGACCATTGAATCCAGGAGGCTTGTGGAGGCGTGGGCCCTAGCTTCTCAAGTGATCGCTTGTGCTTAACGTATGTGTACATGCACATATGCACAGCACAAGAGCACCAACAACAACATCATCTTCAAGAGCAGCAGCAGCAACAGTGACAGCAACAGCGGCAGCGACAACGATAGCAACAGAAACAAGAGCAATATCATCAACGACAGAAAGAAGAACAGCAGCATGAGCTACAGCAGCAACAAGAACAATATCGAGAGCAATGCCAATAACAATAACAAGGTGCAAGAACAGCAAGAGCAACAGCAACACCACTTGCAACAGCAAGAAGAACCGCAACAAGAAGCCACCCAAAACCATGAAATACAGCAACACCACCAAAACCAAAGCATCCGAGCCGACATTCCGTGAGGTCGCTGATGTAGGGCTGATTTTTGCAATTAGTTGTTTTGGTTGTTAAGTGAACCCCTAAACCCTAGACACCCAACCCTTGTTGTTTAGTTGTTTTTTGTTCCTGTGACTGTTCTGAGGTTGCGTTGCTGGTTTCCCACTGGCCATACTACCTACAACTTGAGCTTTTCCATGTATGCATGTGTCCATGCAAAAGATGCAGCATGTATGCAAATCTGGCACTTGTCAAATGAGCGACGGCTTTTATTTGCGTTTATACTACAGTACTTTGAAACGAGATACCTCCGTGCAGTATTTTTGTTGTCGGAACTAGCCCTACTAGGGGAACGAGATAGGGGCACCGCTTCAAACGAGATCAAGTATATCTAGTACTAACGATACTTGAACGAGATCGACTTTTTCTGCCAGTACTTACCATGATGAAACGAGATAGTGGCACCGCTTCGAGATAGCGTAATTAGCCCAAGCAATAAATAAACGCAGTGGCTCAAATATGTGTCCATTTATCCACGTCTGCATCCGTAAGTATCTGTACTGTTCCCTTAAGCGACTGTGTTCACATTGACATACTTACCTATGCACAACATTCGCCATACTCCCCGAAGATATAGCGGCCGATGCATAGGAGGGGTCAACTGAGGTAGTTTATGTGTAATTTTTTAGACATAGGCACGCACCTTCAGTCCTAAAACTTCACGACTTGCATAGAACTCCAATGCTGCATCAACATGCGATTATGTTCATTTCAAATTCAATAGCGCTTGCTTATGTGAGCTCACAAATGGCAGCTCTGATCCTGCATACATCTGTATATGTACATGCGGACGATGATTTGTTGACATGTGCAAAAAGCGATTGACTCGACTAGTCTTGACCGCGTACACAAAGTATATGCTACAACAACAACAACAACAGCAACAACAACAACAACAACAGTATGCATAAATGCTGTCAAAGTGTCCACGTATCTGAGCTTGCGCAGTAGTCTCAGTATTCCCCACAGGCTTTTAGCCAGACACATAGGTACCCGTACATGTTTGGAATAGACATGAGTACGTCTTGTTCTACATCGACATGGCAATGTACGGCTATATGCGCAAATCCGCTGGTGTGTGCGTTTATATGACAGCGGGCACTGCATTTTTGCAGATGAAGCGCTTTTTGTTAAGCTTTTCGGCTGAGGCCTTGCTGAGGACTTCAAAGCATCCTGGAATGCTGGCCGAGGACCCCCGTGCCTTCCGGGTCGTTTTTTCTGATTTTAGAGTGGGCGGTGGGGGGTGGCTTTAGAGTTTAGGGTTAAGGTTGAGGGTAGTTGGGGTTCATTATGTAAGGTGTTGTAGTTAGGGCACGGTTACTGCAACCGGATGAGTACATGGTCGATGCCAGCATGCATGGTACTGTGTGGATGAAGACTGAGGTACCCCGTAGACCCCAATCATCATCGCCCCGTAAGAAGGCCATCGACCTTCAAACTGGCGAGCAGTGGGGAAACACGCCTTGCACGTCTGCACTGCACGGGACCTAGCCGGAACGAGCTTACCAAGACAAGATGAAGAGAAAGTGGTATGATCAGCAGAAGGAAGACCAGTACTTATCATTGTATTTTTTGAGGCTAAGTCTAGCTGTAGTTACTAATGACAAAACAATAACAATGGCAGTAAAAAGAATAATCATAATAGATGCGACCTTTGTGCTAGCCATCTTCGCTTCTCCGAGGCTCTCGTTGCTGAGAGTGGCCCCTAGGCTCTCGAGGACATGGCGGGAGGTGTAAGCAGCTGCACGGGTTTAGGGTTTAGGAGATAGTCATAGTCTACAGTTATTTCACATGTAGGTGTCAGCACCACCCGTCCAAGTTCAGCGTTCGGCACAAAGCAGCCGAAGCTTTCGTTTCAGTCTCCTGTCAGCCTGGCAACTTCGCCAAGCTCTGCAGGCAGCGCAGATCCTCACGAGCAGCGCGGATAGACAAGAAGAGCTTGCGGGCACATCTAAGTATCATCAGCCTTAAACCCGATCTCCGCAAAGCCTTAAGCCTCAACCTTGAAGCCCTCAGCCAAAAAACCCTGCACGATAAAGCCCTACGTGCTCCTTTCCCAATCCGATGTCAGGGGCCCTAAACCCTTAACCCATCCTAGACCCCTAAACCCTAAGCCTTAAAACCAGGACCCCACCCGAAGCAAGACGAGTCTCGGAGGCAGTCCCGGCCCTCCGGGGCTACTTCCTGGTTGGAACGATGACCGCCTGGACTGGTCTTTGGGGCGGGGTTGAGGGTTTAGAGTGGGTTAAAGGTACCATGAGGCTTCAAAAAGGGGTATTTCAAGGGCTCTGTAAGGTTCGTACAGGGTTTCCGGGGTTCAGGGATCAGTCAGGGTTTTATAGAATGGGGTCGAGATCCGGGGCTGTCATCTCCTCATCGGGACGGGGATGTTCTGTGTTGGACTGTTTCGGCAATTGCTCATTTGCAGAGGGCTGGCCGAACATATAAAGCACAAGAACAGAAAGTGATTGAGTACGAACATCATCTTTCAGCACCTACTCGATAGGAAATGGTCGCCTTGATCAGAACACACCTTCCGACAACGATGAAGATGTCCTGCTTGCACCCCCCGAGCACGGAGCCTGGCCTACTGCAGCTTCACAACATCTGGGTACTATAGGGGCCTTAATTAAAAATTGTTCATGGGGTTTTGGGGCCCACTACACTACAATTATAATAAGGAGCCCCCACAATAGTACAGGTAATAATTAAGGCCGCTGCTTCGATTTCCGAGCATCTCGTGGAGACCCGGAACCCTAAACCCTGAACCCTAAAGAACTCATAAACCACCGTAACAAAACCTGCAACACCCAAACACCCCTCAACCCAGAAACGAAACCCTTGAAAAGTCGGACCCGGCAAGGACCGATGGCCTGAGAATGGAGGAGGAGTCCGATGGGGTTTACGCCTACACGCTTCTCGCCGACGGTTCAGTTCACACAATCCTGGGGGTTTTTTGGGTTTAGGGACAGGGCCCTGAACAAAAATGGAACAGGCAGGGTCTTGGCCAGAAAAGATTCTGGTATAGTGTAGCTATAACCATGTCCAGGCCGTTGCAGCGGAGAGTTTCCCCTGCACAAGCCGCCCTCAGGCTGACCATGGGTGACAACAACTGGGAGAAGTTCCAAATTTGGCTGGATGAGGATCCTGACAAGGCAGCGGGGTTTCGATGCAGGTGTCCTTTGCCTGCGGTGGCTTGCAGGTTCTGTATCCAGGCAACCCCAACGAGGGCAAAGAAGCGGCCATCGTTGGACCTGAGAGCAGCGTCGACAAGGCTGTGGCGCTGAAAACGCCTCTCAAGCAACCCGGTGGGATCACCCGGTGCAGGCCCTTTCGTGGAGAATATCCGGCATGTGTCACCAGGCCGGCCGAGGTTCGATTTTTGTTTGGGTCTTTTCGGAGCTGACAGGCTTGGAAGCGACATCTGAGATGTCCCAACAATCCATGCTCAGTATAGAGGCCCCTATATCAGCTGCGTTCCCTCTCTCGAACCTGTACCCATGCACGGGTTCAAGACGTTTAGGCAGGGCCTTTGTAACAACGTGTGATCTGCATACTTGGAGCAGAAGTAGCTGCCTGTTGTGATGATTTGTGATGCTTCCGCTGCTTTCACATCCATCAAATCCTGGACCACGAATCCCCAAAAGAGAAGCAGTGGGTCCTGGGCTGTGAGGCACGGCTGATCAACGAAGAGCAGTACAAAACACTCGCTGAGGGTGAGGTCGGCTCTCTCTCTCTCTCTCTCTCTCTCTCTCTCGCTCGCTCGTTGGCTGTGCACGCATGTGCTATATCACTATGTATGTTGTCTATACGACATGAGTGAACAAACGAACAAATGAACAAGTAAATAACAACGTAAGAAATATATTCGTATATATATATATATATATATATAGGTAAATAATGGTAAATACATAGGTATAAGTGTAAACATCAATAAGTCAACTCTATATACAGGTATGGTGTGTATACACATATGTATGTATAGAGTATAGACAGATATCAGAGCCAACGTGCTGATGGTTTCCCGCTGCATGGAGCTCTTGTCCCTAAGTCTGAAGCCCTGCTCGAGGACTCCATGGACTGCATGGTTGCCTTCGGCGGGAACTATGTGGCCTGACAAAGCGTTGTGGGGGATAGGGGTGTAGTTTCGTCTTCTCCCATGAGACAGAATTTTGACGGGCTACTGTTTTTTTCTGAAGAGGGCTGGGTCAAGACAAGCTTGGGGAAGGGTTCAAGAACAAATTTGGTGTTGTTTAAAACGCTCTGGGGGGGGGGGGTGTTGAACAAGATCCCCCTTTGCTAGAGTGCCATAGGAATCAGTCAATCGCAATATTGCTTGGAAAACGGTTTTGGCAAGTGGGTAAACTGGCCAACCTTGCATTTGGGTTTGAAGCCGCTCGTCTGGCATTCGTTCTTCTTATGCATCCATCTAGCTGTCCCGACGTATCTAACTATTTGTTCAAGCCTGCAGTCAGGACCTTCCCATCTGCACATGCTGCCCCAGGTTCCTGAAAATGTCTCTGACCCGACGGACATCTCGCAAATGCCGGCCGTGACCTCGGCAAATCACTGCGCAGCATCTGCATGGGACTCTGGCTTTAGGGTTCAGGGTGTACCATGGTTTTAAGGTTCAGGGCTTCAGGGTTAAGGGTTTAGTATGTACCATAATGGTGCCTGTTCGAAAAGCGTTAACGCTGCTTTGTGAAACCCGAAGCTATTATCACTTCCTGTCTTGTCATTCATATCTTTGTCAATAAAAATGAGGATCCATCCACCCTAGCCTGATGTCTAAAGAGAAGTGCCTCAGCCCCGGTTCCACGGGTGTCTGTCCGTGCAGTGCAGCCAGACGTAGTATGACCCCGATCAGGGCACTTGAGCACTTCGAAAAACGCATGTAAGATCCTCTTAGAACCCGACCAAAACCCTATTTAGAGTCTTGTTACCCGCTGAACATCCGAAGCCACTTTATTGGAATGGTACAACCCCACTGCTTGTTTTGCATGATCCCGAAGCACTGAATCTGCCTTAAGTCCTAGTCACGAAAACAACCGCCCCATTCCGACCAGTCTCACGGGTGAGGCGGTCGATGTTACTTCCAACTTACAGCTTGACACAGTTTCACTTATTTTGAGCTTAACAAGGCTGATGGAGAGCGAGGAGTCAAGCCCGCGAAGACCACGCACGAAGCAATGCCAAATTTCTGCGCCCCAAACACAGAAAGGCGAAAGTTTCTGAAGCGAGATAAGCACTTATTGACTTTAACGTTTTTTTGCCCAACTGCTTTGCTTTTGAGGTGGCGAACCTCAACGCTGGCATGGAGGGCAACCCTGGTGACAAGCCTGGGGCTGAAACTCCAAGAATTCTAAGGGGTTCCAGGAGGTTTCATAAGGGTTTTATAAGGGTTGAAGTGCGGTGTCCTATTATCAGAAAATGCAGCCGGCTTTATGCGGTGTTGAGAGGTTCTATGCCGGAATTGGGGGAATGGGAGGGAAGGCAAAAGGGTGTTGGAATTTGATCTAGGAGCCTTGGGCATTGCGGGGACGGCTTCGGCAACGAGTTTTTTTGTTTGGGGGTTGCTGTAATAATCCTCAAACCAAGCCCAAAGCCTTAACCCGTGACCCTAAATCCTAAACTACTTGAGCCCAGGTACCGGATCCGTCTCCATGTGCAGGGACAGTGCCCCCCGGATGTCTCCGACAGAGCAGATAACGGAGCCCTCAAACTGAGAAGAGACTGGACCTTCGTGGCTCTTGCAAATCGTGGGTCGGAAGAATTAGCAACAGTATCCCTTAATGGCTCCTGACTAGAGTATGAGATGATCTATACCCCAAGACGCTATTCTGATCACGAAGGCCCCTCTAATATTGCATTACATCCTAACCCCTGGGCCGTCAAACCTGAGCTTAATGCCCAAACTCCATACCTGGGTGGTTCTCAAGATTAGGGTCTCTTTTTGGGCATCCTAAATATTAGGTGCCGTATTATATTAAGGACCCAAAAAGGGACCCTAATTCTGACAGCCACCCACCTGAAGCCCCCAAAGGCTGAATTTCAAATCCCCGCCCTGGGCTTTCAACAACCACTCAGTGCCATGGGGCCTCGACCCGAAGCCCCAAATCAAGGCTTCCACTAACAGCCCTGTTTCCGAAAACAGGGGACCCTGATATAGCACCCTGAATAGTGGGATCCTTGTTGCAAGGACCCCAAAATAAGGTGCCCCCTGTTTTCGGAAACTCCCATAATGGTAAAAGGTACAGGCGCCTCGAGTGGTGCAAAGCCAGAGGGGCTGATGCCGTGCCCCCTCTGGGTCGCAGGCGGACACGCCGGATATTTGTGAGTCTAGGCTTGGGAATGAAGTGCGGTGGGCTGTCGTCTCTGTGCATTTTTACATAACAAGGTCTGCGTTTGCAATTGTAGTAGCAGCAGTCAGGAGTTGTGGTAGTAGCAGCACCAGCAGCAGTCGCCGTCGTTGTCGTGGTAGCATCAGCGGTTGTGGTAGTATTTCGAAGTAGTAAGAGAAATTAGTAGTCGTCGTCGTCGTCGTAGTAGTAGTAGTAGTAATACTAATAAAAATAGTAGCAGTCGGACGAGGTGCAGTAGTTCCAGCAGAAGTAAGTACTAGGAGAAGAAGAAGAATTAGTTAGTAGCAGCAGGAGTTCTTTCAGTCGTACTAGTAGCAGCAGCAGGAGTAAGAATAGCCAGAAGAAGAAAAGACGATAGTAGTAACATGATTGAAAGATTTTCAGTTATGATCGCAGAATAGCAATCCCAGTCACAACAATTACAGCAGCAGTTGTTATCATAATGCTGGGAGTGACAGCATTAGCGCACGTAGCAACGTAATAGTGGTAGCAGCAGTTTTTGTCGTCCTCGTAGTAGTGGTAGAGGTGGTTGTAGTCGCAGTCGTAGTAGTGGTGGTGGTGGCGGCGGTGGTGGTAAATAGTGGTGGTGCTGGTAGTTGTGGTGGTAGTAGTAGTGGTGGTGCCAGGCAGTATCAAGAATCGAAGAGATGGATTTGCAGTCTCTGTTGGTCGAGAGTGCAGGCGATTCGCGCACAAGTTCGCGATAATTGGTTTCGGCCCGAGCTGTGAGATGTGCAAAGCCATGTAGATCCACTTGCACAAAGAACCTGCGAGGTGATCATAGCTACTGGACCTTTGAGGACATGCAGGCAGCTGCCAAGCTCGATTTGTTGCTTCTGCGTGCTGGTTGACACATGAAGACTGTTAACAAAGAGTTTAGATAGAACAAAATTAAGAAGAAGACGAATTGCAAGAATGATAAGATTGACGAACAGGCACATGCCACCGTCTGCTCGCATGTCTTTCCAAGGGTTCAAGAAGTCAAGAAGCAGCAAAGCAGGAAGTTGACCAAGCAATTCAAGCGCAGCTCTTCGACACGCGTCACGTGAAGTTCTGCTTTAGATATACTTGTACCATAATACAAGGACCATGGCAGAGCTACCAAGATACCTATACTATGGTACATCATGCCAAGATGCGTACAGCAGGCTACGGGGAAAGAGCTTCAGCCATTGTCTCGACCATTCCAGGGCATGTGCTCAGTATCGGTCCAATGTAACAACCCATTTCGCAACCCTGATAGTACCCCCCCTATAAACGAAATGCGATAAATGGAAATTGAAAAATACACATAAACACCCCATATAGAACACCCTACAACAGATCCGATGTAAAGAGCCCTATACATCCCTATAAAGATCCGATACGAACAGAGCCCTACACATCCCTTCAAACCCCCCTAAACCCTAAACCCTAACTTACCAATCCCCCAAACCCCTAAACCCTAAATTACCAAGTCCTAAAATTAAAGGTAACCCTAAACCCTAAACCCTAAAAACAGCCTCTATAAAGATCCCAACTCAAAGCCCTGAGCCCCTTCATGGGCACGGGTCCATGTTGCAGCTTGGAGTCGGCAGCGAAGGTGGACGGATGAAAGTTGAAAGCGCTTTTCTTCTTGTTGGATTTTGTAGGCCTTTTTTTCTGGTATAGGGTTATAGAGTGTAGGGTCTTTAAAGTATAGGGTTATATAGTGTAGGGTCTCGTTTATATAGCTTTATACAGTGTAGAGTCTTTTCAGGGATTTATGATGAGGTTTTGTTTTCTGGGGTTATACGGGGTCTTTACAGCGCATGTGCGCTCGACAGGAGGAGTACCGCTCCAAAGTACCTCTGGCTCACGAGCAAGCCTGCCCAAGCAGTGAGCTTCTGGAGAGGCTGCTTTCCATACTGAAGGAAACGGTTTGGCAACATGGACGGTTTACGGCATGTAGAGCATGTCAGATAATGATTAGCTCTCACCACAAAGTAGTTGCAAAAGGTTCGTTTCGCTTCAGAGCATGGTGCCGGAAGCACTACTAATCGCTAGCGTAGGTTGCAATTGTTTCGGAGTTAAAATCAGAGGGCCGTTCAATGGTGGTCTGGTAGTGGTTCGGTAGGCACCGTCTTGGAGTTCAGGCTGAGGTTTTAGGCTTCAGGGCGTAGATTTGCAGACCTTGCAGACAAGCTGCATATAGAGTGCGAGCAGAACAAGCCGGAGCTAATACTACTGTGCTACGACAGCACAGTACGACGGTGTTGCACGACATTGTGGTTTGCGTTATGTACCTCGTTGAAAAAGGTGTGTCGTATGATGTGATATTGTACTGTGCGATATGGTGCGATATGTCACAGTATGATACAAGGTGATGCAGCATGACACGACATGTGCTATTGGTATGGGCAGGTTAATGAGCATGGTTATAAATACATTCTTGGCATGGCATGCTATGGCTGCTGTGGTACGGCCTCGCAGGCAAGGCATGGTATGATGAGCCGTGATATGGTATGACTGATATGGTAAGATATGATCTGGTCTGATGTTCGTACTTGCTTTATCCCTCTGAAACGAATGGCCTGATACATAATATATGTATATATATATATATATACATATATATATATATATATATACACACACACATATATATATATATATATATATATATATACATATATATATATATATATACGCATAATATGTGTACGTGTACGTGTTGATATAAACATATACATATATGTATATATACTTTTTTACACACACACACACATATATATATATATATATATATGCACATACTTTTTCATACAAAAAGTATGAGTAGTCTATATTATCTGTGCATCCTCAGAGGCTGAATTCTGAGCCCTAGGACTCAAGCTCAACACTTCCGTAGAGGGTCATCCAGACATTCTGACCGGTCCCATAAATCATTTAGGGTTCAAGCAGTCAGCTGGAGGATAGCACATGACGCTCTAGTCGTATGGGTTTGCCAGGACCAGCACCTTCGGCTGAAAGACTTGCCCGAGTCTCACTCCCCAGACTTCGCCAAGCTCCTACAAGAGCTGGGCTTCAGTTCGGCCCTTGAGCGCGTGAAGCTGGCGAAGGCCGTCCGAGCTTTAAAAAGTGAGCAGAATGAGGCGAACTTGAAGGAAAGTGATGGGGATACCAAGTTTGATACCTGGCAATATGAGGAGATGTCCAGGGTCCAGAAGGTTGAGGCCAAAAGCATGGTGAAAGACTTTGTTAAGGCAATGGTTCATGGCCGCCGACTCCAAAAATTGAGCGCCGAGACGGGCGAGATCGTGGATGTGCAGGTCTCTTTGAATAAGAAGGTCGACCGACTGACGATCGAAGGTATCGAAGCTCAAAGGGACGAGGCTCCCATCCTCACAGATCTCTGCGACATCTTCGATGTCGTGCCCATGACCGAGCCGGACTTCACTGTGATCGTGAAAACCCGCGACAGCGAACTGTGCCTTCTTCTCCCAACCTTGGAAGAGCGGGACGCTTTCACCAATGCTTTGGGCATTCTGTCGCAAGTGGCACAGCGACCAAAGTTGCAAGCAGATGTTGCAAAGTAGAAGAGGATCATCAGCCAAGGCCTTGAATCTCGATGACGTTACAGAATGTACTATAATGGACTGCAATGTGCTGCAAGTTATTGTAATATACTGTATCTTTCAGGCTGGTGGCTTCCTAGCGGTGTTTACCTTGTCAACAAAGCTTTGACCGTGGTGGTTTTAAGGATCTAGACGGGATCCCCAGAGACTCCAATATCCTTTAATTAAGGAATATTCCTTCAGTTATATAGGGAAGAGGGCTTTTGGAGTCTCTGGGTCCATGGTAGAGAGCAATCGAAGATTGATCTCGAAGCTTTCGTAGTGAGCTGCCCTTTCCTCAGCAGGTGTCCCGGACAGCCCAGACCCATGTAGGCTCAGTTTCCGTTTTCCGATCGGCACTCATGGAGATGCCATTGTCGGCGTCGAGATGCAGAAGCCTGGGAAGCGAAGCTGCAGAAACATCACCATCAGGATTCTTTTGGTATGTGACATATATATATATATAATGTATTGCAATAGACATTATAGAATATTACCGCATATTGCAGTTTTCAATCTTTCGGTTTCTTTCTTCAGACTGTCTCGCCAGGAGGAAGAGAAGGGAGTCTTCGCTGCAGAGGCGATCTGCTCGCGGGAGTCATAGACCGCGGTGCCCCAAGCAAATGCCACGCAGGTGCGGATCTTGAAAGAGACCAGCAACTTCCAGATCTACAGAGACCGTGCCCCCTGCTGGATTTCCGGGCTTTCCGTGCAGTTCTACTCTGTGTTTAGGGGTCAGGGTTGCTTCTATCAGCCCAGCGGAAAGGTGGGTTCTGCGCTGGTTCTGCAACTGTAGAGCGACCAGACCTCAGAACAGTACTTTCGAAGTACCTAGTGACAGGGGGGGGAAAAGGGGTGTAAACTGAATAATTAACTTCCTTGAAGGGAATCCTGGTTTCACCCACCGATGGCCCCAGTTTGTGTGCACTTGCTTCGCTTCTTCTTGTGCAGTTGCTTTTTCCACCGGTTTCCTGTGGAGCAAGCAAGCAAGCAACCCTGGCTCGAAACTTCTGTCGGTGTCGTTGGGGCCCGGTAGTAGAGTATGCAAGCAATGAATTTATTTTCTCCATCCGCAGCGCTCTACCTGTATCCATACATGCCTACGCGCATCCATCCCTCCCTCCCTCCCTCCCTCCTTCCATGCATCCTCTGCATCCATGCATCCATGCATGCAATGTAATGCTGTGTAGTGTAGTGTAAATGTAAGCCGGAGTTTCAGTGCACACGTAATATGTAAATCTATGCAGATATATAATCTGGCTATACGCACGTACCTTGCATGTGATGTGTGCGTCTATGCGTGCATGCATACATACATACGCAGGTACACATACATACATGCATACATACCTGCATTGATGCATGCATACATACATACATACATACATACATATGTGCATACATACACATACCCAACATATCCTCACATCTAGTCTTGCTAACACAAGTTCTTCAAGACATGCAGGACCATGTGTGAGTAAATGCATGCGCATGCCGGTTCTCTGTTCGATCTTCCCCAGGCTCGTTGATGCTAAACCAGGTACCCTTTCTGAAACCTCAGACCCTAAACCAAAAACTCCAAACCTTAACTCCTCAGCCAACAATCGTAAACCCTCAGCCAAAAATTCTACGAGTCTAAGTTCTGTGGCAGGGGACTTTGAGCAGGGCTTCTACCCTGCACCTGAGGCCGGCAACTGCTTCCTGGAAGGGTTTGGGGTTTAGGGGGACATCTTAGTAGTTTGGGATTTTAGGCGTTGCGGGGGGGGGGGAGGGGCTAGAGCAAATGCGACTTTTTTTAACATAATTCGTGTGCCTGGTGTCGGTCTTCGTTGGAGGGAAAGGATATCTGACTGGGAAACTTCGGTCAATCCACCGTTTCATCTTTGAAGGAGTCAGCTCAACGCGGTGAGCATGATCAACAGCACACTCCAGAGCGCTTATGACGGCTGTATACAATGTATTATTTCCCAAAATAACAGAATACAGCACACACACACACACTGTCGAACATTCCATGTACAGTATATGCACACATATATGTATAGGCTGTATAGATTTACACTATGTAGTGTGTACTGGAATCATGTCAAGACATCTCGGATTCGCCAAGTTTTCTCCGGCCTCCCAGCACTCGTCGCAGGCGACTGCGGGAGGTTCAGACCAAGAGATTCAAGGCCAGCGCACTTCAGGGACGACTTGAAGGCTACAGGGTCTAGGGTCTTGGGCTTTAGGGCCTAGGGAATTCAGTGTTCTCAAAGGCTCTGCTAGTCCAGGTTCGTTCAACTCTTGTTCCTGCAATGATGCTTCGTGCAGCACGGAGGCTGACTGCTTGCTTTTTATCTGCCAAGTCTCATGGGGTGACCCCTTCGTCTGCTTTGCTACTGCTCACTGCTTGGGGCGCTGTTGTTGTGCAAAACCAGTCGTGTATGTCCAGCATTTGCAAGGCCGTGATAGTCACCAGGGTAACGCTGTTGAGAGTACCAATAATTACGAAGAAACACCTTGATGCGAGTGTTCGAAGCAGTTATAATCTTCGTCAGTTCTGAGCAGCACATCAGCAAAACTGAAAAGACTTGGTAGCCGCTTTCAAGGGAAACAGAGCATCTTTCTGACCGGTAAACTGCGTGCTATTTGGCTGTATGTGCACGTACGTATAGTTTCATCAGCGACGCACACGGAGGTAAGCAGGTACATGCATACCGTGAGTGCGCACCAGTGCATGTCGCCACATCTCTTTGTTGTCGGCTTGTGTGTTCTTGCACACTCTAAACCCGCAGCCCAAAAGCCACAACCCTAAACCCACAGCCCTACACTGTAAACCCTAAACCCCAAAAGCCTACACTGTAAACCCTAGACCGTCTCAGCCCTAAACCCCAAACCGTACTTAAACCCTGCACTCTAGACCTTCCGGGCATTGTAAAAAAGGAGCTCAACAAAGAACCTAAAACCATAAACCCGTAAGCCTTACACCGTAAACCTTACACCCTCCCATCCGCATCCTGTGAGCCTTCCTTCGAGGCCCCGATGAGCTGGGCCAGGGCACGAACTGGGTGGTGAAGGGCAAGGCCCAGATCTGAGTTTCCGAAAATAGGGATACCTTATTTGGGGGTCCTTATAATAAGGATCCTACTATTTGGGGTACTATATTAGGGAACCCCCAGATCTGAGTTGGGTGATGGGGTCCACAGGCATTTGGGTAGTTGTCAAAAGTAGGGTCCCTTTTCGGGTATCCTAAATAATAGCTGCCGTATTATATTAAAGACCCAAAAAGGAAACCTAATTTTGACAACCACCCATTTCCGATGGATCCATGGGGATTTATTGTGGATGTGTATGGGATTTGTATGGTGGTGAAGGGAAAGGCCCAAGTCGGGGGCTGGGGTCAGGGTCCCTTTTTGGGGTGCCTTACAGGGATGTACAGGAATTTTCAAGGGATCTATAGATCTCTGCAGGCATGTCGGAGGGATCTAGAGGGTATGGCTTCGTATGAGATGTTTATGGATTTAAACGGGATCTATGGGGCTCTATGGCCTGTGGGGAGACTCAGATGCGCCAAGCCTCTCCCCATAACAGTTGCAGTGTAGTGTGCCTCTTCAGTATATGTATGGGAGTTTCCGATTATAGGGGGCCCCAATACCCTAAATAGTAGGAAGCTTGTTATAAGGACCCCAAAACAAGGTACCCCAAACTTTCGGGAGCTCCCTTATCGCAAAAGTATAGTATATCCCAATGCCCAGGTTGGGGATGTCTTCAAGATCACCTTTAGACGCCAAGTTCGACGGGGCCAGGCTGGGCTCAAATCAAGCGGAAGTGGTTGAAGCGTCATGGGTCCTTATTTTGCTATCGATTTTACCTGAAGTATTGTTGCTTGTTATTGCTGTTGTTGCTGTTGTTGTTGCTATTGTTGTTGTGACTGTTGCCACTGTGGGCTGCAGGACAAAAGGAGCATCAGCCGGCAGGCTCAGCAACCGAAGGGTTCTGCTGGCGAGAGCGTTCTCAGTGAGGCTTTCGTTTGTGTCAACAAAAGCAGGACAGGACAGCCCGGAATCGCTTCAGGCAGAAAGTTGGAGGTATGACCGCTTATGTCTCCCAGAACCCGTCTCTTGACCCTCTACCGAGCAAGTATGACCTACAGTCTTCGATGGAGAACCCGGGAAGGGCAACGCACTCATCTTTGCTGGTTGGCTCTCTGCTGTTCCGTTCGTAGCGTGTCATGCTCTGGATGATATAGTGATCGGATTGACCAAAACGAGAGTCAAAAGATAGTATTGCCTTCTAGTCCATCTTTAAGTTTAGAAGTTAATTAGTCCTAATTGTCAAGGCCCCTATAGTAAACTGATACAGCCTTTCAATCGCTTGCCTAGGTTGGGAGCGCTTGCGAAACGAGACTGTGGATTTCCAGGACCGCCCGCGGAAGGGCCTGGCGCGAGCCCGGGGCGTAGTCCTTAGACCCCAAAGGAAGGTCTGCAGAAGCCCTGACATGGTTTAGGATTACCATCCCACTGCTCGCATGTGACACAGGGTGCAGCAGGTTCTCTTAATCCGTAAGCATTGTGGCCTCGTAGAATAGTCTCTGCAGAGCCGCTGAAAAAGCGGAGTCATTCTAACAGCATCCTTGCGATACCCTTGATTAACGGAAGCAGCCCTTCCAAAAAATGGCAAGGAGATGTCCAAGTCTCACAAGTACTACCTGGCATCTCGGCGGCACTGTTTTTGCAACAGACGCAGGAAGGAGGGCTTGCAATCCATCTTGAAGCCTCCATTCCCTACTAAAAGAAGGCAAGCCTTGAAGCCAAGACTTCTGTGATTCTGCCATCGTTTAGAAGGAGAATGAAAGCAGAGACCTCTGTCTGGATCCAGGTTGGTTCCTGGAACCAGTTTCGCGAGTGCAAGGCGTCGTCTTCTGGCCATTGGAAGTTGCTTCAAATCTGATCCGAATGTTGTTGTTTCCACCCTGTTTTGGATGAGGATGATCAGGGCGATGGCGATGACGATCATCGTCGTCAGCATCATCATCGTCATCACCAACATAGTCTTCTTTCATCACCGTCATCATCATGGCCAGCATCGCCGGTAACACCCAAGAACATCGCCCGAGCCACCGTCAAGCATTTTCACTGTCGCCTTTTACAGTAAACAGCGTTTTTTGTATTCAGGTCATGGTCATAATAGCAATAATAGTTATTGTCATCATCAATAACAGCAACATCACTATCATCAGCAACATCAACATCAACATCATCATCATCATCATCATTAGTATCATCGTTGTCAGGGTGTTGGTGACCCATAATGACAAAAAGTTGCTGATGACCACGACGATGCTGGCGATCGTGATGTGGCTGTTGTTGAGGATCGTGGTAGTCATGGTGATGGATCAGACTTTGTCGCGTTTGTTGCATGGTGTCCACGGGCTACGATCCGGGAGTTCAGTTGCAGACATGACACAGCACTTGCCTTCCACATGCCTGCATCGCCACAGTTGCCATCAGCTGCGGCGTTGCAGACATCGCGTTCAGGAAATGCTCGAGCACCAGGTGAACGGAGAGAAGCGAGTGCTGAAGCAGGAGACGAGCCGAGCGCAGCTGCCTTTAATATAGGGGCCTAAATAACTACCTATACTATTTTGCGGGGTTCCTTATTATAAACATAGCATAATGGGCCCCAAAACCTTATCCTAATTATTAAGGCCCTTCTAGTAATCAATCCCCACTGGCCTGACTGCAGGAATTCACGGTGGGCAAGACTGGCACAGAAAAGTTTCAGATCCTCTTGAACTGCAATTTCTTGGTCGGTGCCTCAAGACAGTCATGTAATATAGGGGCCTAAACAATGACCTATACTATGTTGGGGGTTCGTATTACAGTTATCGTATAATATCCCCCAATACCCTATTCTAACAATTAAGGCCCCTGTTCCTTATTACAGTTATGGTTATGGTATAATATCCCCCAATACCCTATTCTAATTCTTAAGGCCCCGAGAGTAGCCATCGCAGCAAAAGGGTTCAGCCTGAAGAGACCCAGGCCGCGGTGCATCCAGATGCGGACGAAGCGAGGAAGGCCCAAAAACGTCTTAACCCTAAGCCGAACCTCTACATGTGTGCATATTTATATATACACATATATATACATATATATATATACATATATATATATATATATATGCAATGTGTTTGTCTATCTATTCATCTTCTTTATGCCATATAGCTTTTTAGTTGATTCCTCTTCCTCTCATTCACATGTCTTACTCTTGAGAAGTCGGCGTCTGAATGATCTGAAAGCGTCAACCGTATGCGCATGCGAAGGCGTCTCTGCAGCAATACAGCATGAAGACACAGAATTTTGAGTGTGCAATCTCGCCGCGCTCCCAACTATTGGGCTGTTTTGCGTGACAGAGCTGCGCCGCCTGTAAAAAATCGGAACTGGTCATAGCGTTGTGTTATGGTCCAAAGGTGTGCCCTGTGCGGAGTAATTCAAGGGTCGGAGCAATCAGTACTAGTGTCATTTCATAGTCCTTATGTACGTATATTAAATGCAGCACCTCAAATCCCTATTCTATGTGTTAATACCTGTATCATACGGGCCTAGATAATTAATTACAATTCTACTTTGGGGGTTCCTTAAAACTACTTAGGTATAATGGGCCCCAGAACCCTTCTCTAAGTATTAAGGCCCCTATATGTGAAGCTGCTCTGGCCAGACCGGGTACAAGCTCTGTGGCCCGGACGATGCAGGCTCGCAAAATTCTGTTTCCCCTGCATTGTCGGGTCATAGCAGTAGATCCTTCAGTGCTTCAGGGTTTAGTTTGGGGGTTTAGGGTTTAGGGTTGGGGGTAACTTCATGCTTCTGCGAACTTTTCCGTACCGTCCGCCTCGGTGCTTCGGAGACCTTTGAAGCAGAGCCCCAAACCCCATAGACTGGCCCTGAACCCCAAAACCTGAACCCTAAGGCCCTTTAAAACCCTAAATCCTAAACCGCCAACGCACTAAACCCCTAAAGCCCTAAAGGAAACTCCAGAAAGTTGGAATATGGTTTCAGGGTAGGATACCTCATAATTTACCATAAAGGGTTTAGGATATCATATTCCAACTTTCTGGCTTTTCCTGTAAGTTCTGAAACCCTCCAGCCTCGATTCTGGCCCTCACTCAGCTTGGCGTTTAGCCCTAATCCGCCCGCCCTTCCTTGCGAGGCTCCGGCAAGTATTGGGCCACGGGAACCTCCGAGCAGCTTTTGCAAGGCAAGCCGTGCATGAGATTATAATAAAATATAGTAGAACATCTATCTATCTCTCTCTCTCTCTCTATATATATATATATATATGTATATTCTTTTATTATACTATATAGTGTATATATCTGGTATTATGATAACATGGAAGCTAGAATGATGGTAGGAGTGATAAACAGTAGAATTGACGGTAGGAGCCATGGTAGCAGCGATAGTGATGATGGTAACAGCAGCAACACCAATAATGATGCGAACAGGAACATTGCCCATACTTGGACATAGCATTTACGATGCGGTTAGCAAATAAGATGATCTGTATTATGTATATATGTACATATACATACACAGCCACTAGACACATGCAAGGTAACATCTAATCTGATGTAGAACAGAAATTCGACTATATCTGCTTTTTCGAGCAAGCTGAAGGATTCCACATCTTCGGTGGCCCGCCCCTGTTACTGCTAACATAGTGATCATGGAAGGCCTTCTCGTTGTTCAATAGTCGACCCCCTGAGGTGTTCAGCTTTTGGCCAGGTGACCACGTGATGGTCTACCTTGAGCTCTCTGCGGGATTGCCTCACAACGTGTGGTGGGAGAGGTTTAACTCGCCAGATGCTGCAGCCTCGGCTGGCGTGGTGGTCAAGGGTCAGATGAGACACTGGGAAAGTTCAGACTTCGTTCATGACATGGTGCTGTGTATGAGCCTGTATATGGCAGTATGTACGTTTGTGCAAGGGTGTTTATGCCGGTCTGCATGTAAGTTTGTATCTACTACATATTACATACGTATGTGCCTCTCTACATGCATGCACACCTGCATGACTGCCAGCCTCCCTGCCTGCCTACCTGCCTTCCTACCTACCTGTCTACCTCTCCGCCTACCTGCCTGTCCGCTCGCCTGCCTAATGAAGAAAAACGAAGAGGAAAATTAAGAAAACATGCAGAGGCTTCAGGTTCTGGCCTCGCCCCTCCACTCCACGCCCTCCCCTGGCCCCCTCCCTTTTGGCGCGGACCTCCAACGCAAATGAAGGAAACATGAGTAAGAAAATGAAGAAAAATGGTGATGCAGATATCTCCCTGTCTCGCCCATGAAGAAAAGCGAAGAAGCAACGAAGATGCAAATGTCACCCGTTTATTTTCAGGCTGGTTGACAGGCACGACCGAGGAAACACGAATGAAGAACAAATTAAGAAACTACGAAGAAAGAAACGATGAAATAGCGATGATGTGGGTTCAGCCCGAGAGTGGGGAACGATGATGCAGAATGATGAAGAAATGAAGAAAATGACCAAGAAAGTATTTCCTGGATTTCCAACCCGTGGCTGCCAAAGAACCCTTAAATAGTAGGAGTCACTAGGACGTACCTACATGCATACATAAGTAGCTCATGACAAGTGATGTGTGTAGACGCGTGCATGCCGGGTGTCCTGTCAGAGTTCTCAAGAGATTTTCGGGCAGGGCCGGCAGTTTCCGTCTCAGCTCCATGCCATGCGGAGGCTCACCAAGAGTATCTGGCCGCCGGAGCACAGCGCGTGTGGGAGAGGCTGGGCTCTCATCCCTTGCAGCCCTTGTCCCTTCAGATTTCGTGCCGTTCTTCAGGCATAACCGACTGATGGGCCTCATCCCATGGCAGAGTGACGAGAAGCCGGATCCCCAGAACCAGAAGATCCAGCGAGCGCACCGCGCCCTAGAGCTTCCGTCTGCAGGCCGGCCAGATTGGTGAATCCTCCGGAGTGGTATGGCGGTGGACGCGAGAGAGAGGACAACCCCCCAAAGCCTGAGCCCTTGGTCGGACGGAAATGCCAACAGTCCAAAGAGCGGCTGCATGAGTTCGCCGATGCGCCAGGACTTGGTGATGAAGAATGTCTTCGTGCTGACTCAGGAGCAGTACAGACTGCAGCCAACGCATGATGCGGGTCGAAGTGCAGAGCTTCTGCCGGGCAGGAAATGCTGGATCCGAACTATGGCAAGCAGGACCCCATGAGTCTGTGATGTCATTGGGAAGGTAGCCCTTCTACACATTAATTGGAAGTCCACGTTCGTCTCTTACCAGATGCGGGATCTCGTCGCCGCATCAAGTCTGTACTGGTTGCTATTATGTGAGTCTACGAACATTCGGGGTACCTTGTTTTGGGGTCCTGATAACATTATAATATCTTATAATAAGGTTAGGGGTACTATATTCGAGTCCCCTATTTTCGGAAATTCCCATCTTGCCAATCCTCCTGCTCGTTTTCAGGAGGTGGAAGAGGAGCCGTTTGCACTGTCCGACAAGTGACTGGCGGTTTGGATGGGCTAGGAACCCTACTAGAGGGGCCTTAGAAAATAGAATAAGGCTTTGGGCCCCCTATACTTTTATTGTAAAAAGGCACCCCCTAGCAGAGTATTGCTAGTTATCAAGGCCCCTACATTGCCTGCTCTTCCCTTCTACGTGTCTGTGGGTGCGAGACCTGCAATTGATAATGCATCTGCGACCGGCGCCTTGATCGCCGACCGCAACGTAGGAATCCGAGCCTTCATTGCGCAAGTCTGACCTAAGCAGAGTGAATTTGAATCTATGTGTACATGTATACATGTAGAGATACTGTATATGTATACATGTATATATATATATATGTATTACTTCCCGAATGTTGTATATATGAAAGAACCAGAACATGGAAAACATGCACATGTGTATGACAGAAACGAAAAGCATCGGAGATTCCTCGATTATTTGCAGTGCCAGTGCGCTCTGAACGCGGGGAGCTCGCTTGACTGGGCTGTGGGAGCCTTGAGAAGGCTCAGGGTTTCGGGGTGTAGGAGTTTGGGGTTTCGGGTTTAGGGTTTAGTTGAGGGTTTAGGGTTTAGTTGAGGGTTTAGGGTTTAATTGAGGGTTTCGGGTTTAGGGTGTAACCCTTCCGGATCGTGGCAGGAACCCTTAGTTCCTTATGGATCCCTTTATGGTGCCCTTGTAGCCTCAGTCTGCGAGCTTCGGTTATTCCCCGGTGCTCTACGCACCCGAGAGCACAGGGTTCCAAAAAAGTTGACGGCTCCTGCGCTGCACTGCGCTGAAGAGGGACCAGGGCCCGATGCCTTCAGATCGTGCCAGGACCGTGCTTGGACCCTGCTTAAAGGATCATGGGACTTAGTAACTAGGGTTATAATTAGGGTAACTATACTTATAATCCCAATTAAGGTACTTATAACCTTACTTACTAAGTCCCATGATCCTCCAAGTGAAGATCCCGGCCTGCAACGTCAAAAGCAGTTCTGGATGCACTGTCGGCTCGAAGCCTATTGCAGCATTCTAGGCTTGCTAGGCATTGCAGCACATGACAGTTGGTACATGTAGTTCTTTCTGCTCAGCTATTTCTGGTTTTGCATCAACAAGAACGACAGCAACAGCTAGAGCAGCATCAACAGCGACGACAGGTATTGCGCTGGCGAATAGCAGCGATACTCCTACTCCATACTTCTAAGCTAGAACGCTTAAGCCTAAATCCTAAACCTGACCGGCCTTAAATCCTTAAGCTAGAACCCTTAAGCCTAAATCCTAAACCTTACCGGCCTTAAATCCTTGCCCCTGACAGGGCCCAAGACCAGACCCTAAGCCCTACGAGCCCTTAAGCCTCTGCCGATATGTCATGGAACCCCGAGCCGATGTCAGAGCAGGAGGTATCATACTATGCAACCGAAGCTCAGCGGAACTTGAACCCTGGAAGTTCGAAGTTCGGGTGTTTGGGGGTTTAGGGATTCTGGGGCTTAGTGGTTGTTGTACTTGTTGCCTTGTTTGCCGCTTCTCCTCATGTTTTGCAGCAGGGTTACAATCTTGAGTCAGGAACTGAACCTGACCACAGACCAGGTCGTTGAGTTCAAGCAGGCTGGTAGGGCCAGTTATCATGGTGGTTTTGTGGGAGGAAGGTTTTGGCACTGCGCCGATCAGTAGCGTCAGCAGTACATGGTAGCAGCAGCAGTACCAGTAGCAGTAGCAGTAGGCCTCCCCGTCGTAGCTGTAGTCGTAGTCGTTCCTAGTCCTATACTCCTAGTCGCTCCCGTAGTTGTAGTCGTAGTCGCGGGTTGTCATAGTCGTCATAGTAGTAGTCGTCGGCGGAATTGTCACAGTAGTAGTACGTAGTACTAGTAGAACTGAGCAGTAGCAGCAGCAATAGCAGTAGCAGTGGTGGTGGAGGCGGCGGTCGTGGTGGTTGTTCTGGTGTTTGTTGTGGTTGATATGGTTGTGGTGGTGGTTGTCAGTCGCAGCAACAGCAGAGTTTCCGGTTGCCCGTTGAAATAATCCAGCAAGACCTCATTGTCAGGTCTTCGACGAATACATGGAAGATCTTGATGGTGCTGCCGCCCCAGTGGGCAGTATGCCACCGTGAAGTTTGCGTTGTCTCCTTCTCAAGCTTTCTTCGCCCGAAATGTCTGCTTGATAAACGCCAGCAGCACGAGTGCCATCAGAAAGTTTTGATGCTGGTTGAAGTCCAGGTCAAATCGAGCTACAATGCAAAGACTAGACTGCTAGAGCGACAGCAGGCAGTTGCAGTTGCAGTATCAGTGTTGAAGAAGCAGATCCCGTCATAGTCACTGCAGCAATAGACTTCTTCTACATCATATTCTAGAAATTCTTGACAGGTATTATTGCGGGTATCTCGGCACAAGGGCATGCACCGGGATGCCTGAAATCATACTTGAAGCAATCGGATAGGTCCAGGCCAGACCCTTATAGATCCCTCTTAGTAACCCTTGTGGATCCCTCATCGTAACCCTTCTAGATCCCTTATAGTAACCCTTATGGATCCCTTATAGTACCCTCATGGATCCCTTGTAGCACCCTTATAGATCCCTTATGGTAACCGTTTTTGATCCCTTGTAGTAACCCTTATGGATCCCTTATAGTACCCGTATAGTATCCTTATAGATCCCTTAAAGTAACCCTGAGTTGAAGCGCAACCCGGTGCTCTGAAGGCGCTCACGCGGAAGAACATCGGGAACCTGGTCCGCGCAGTCGGCTTAAACCCATCGAAGGCGCAGACGCCACGTGCCGCCTTACGGGTACCTTAGGAGGTCCTTATAATAAGGGTCCTATTATTCAGGGTACCATATTAGGGCTGTTTTGAAAGAAGCTCTTGCACTGTTCCAGTCGGATCTCCACGCCATCATCAAGCAGGCAGGTTGCGCAAGACGTCTGCAGTCTCCCCTTCTGCGTGAGCCCACCTGCGAATTAGGCAGATTCCGACGGGAGTGGCGATCTTGATTTCGAGGAGTTCATGATCATCGTGGCACAAGTGCACGCCCGGCGTGGGTGTTGATGCAGTCTACCGCAGTCCACACATTTGCGGCAAGTACATGATGACCGAAGCCAGGATAGCTATGACACCAACGCCATCTCCAGAGGACCTAGAGACCTAGAGAACGCGACAGCACGGGGTGAAACTTACAAGATGTATGGCACCTGAAGTTGTTGATTCGTACGACTCTGGAGTTTCATCAGCTCCGTACAGTTACAGGAGTACGAGCGAGACATGCGCGAGCTGTACTTTGGCTGCACTGACCATGGATGAAGGGCTCGGTATCGCAACTGCAACATGACGTGCGCAGCTCAGGTTTGAAGCCATTGACCGTCGCGGCCTCATGATTCCCAATTCGTGCCTCCAACACGCAAGACGACAAAGGGATGCCTGCGACATCCTGCGACACTTTGTTTGGCGTCAGCGCAACTCAGCTCTTCCCTCTCAGGTTATTGTTGCCGCCAGCTGCTTCAGAAATAGGTCTCGTGAGCTGGAACCCAGTTTCGAACGACCACACATTGTCTAGTTCCTGTTTATTACTGCTTCAGCTGACTCTACTGCTGGCGACATTGCTTGTCTTCGTCAGCAAGATGAGGAGTACAGAGGAGTAGGGCAAACAATGCAAGCAACAACGACGAAGAACAGCATTAACGAATCGCGGACATCATCACAGCAATCATGGTTAGCACCTTCCCCGACGTCAGCATCATCCTCGTTCTCAGCATCATCATCACCATCATCATCATCACCAACATCGGCATCGTCAGAGGTAGCAGCAGATGCAGAAGCATGAGAGTCGCGAACAGTGATAGTAGCCAGAACAATGCCCGAACAACCATTGCTGGCGTGCCAAGACGTCCCCACTTCGAATTCGACCACCATTGCACATCTAAAGCTCTTATTAGCCTGTGACGCTCTGCTTGGGGATTTCTCATCGAGATTCCCAAACCCTGAGCCCTCAAATCCGTAAGCCCAAACTCTTGCAGCTCCCAAACCCTGAAATCAATTGTCAGCAAAACAGTAAACTCTAAGCTCTAGAGACTACCCCGGTTGGCAGTTGACGGCAGCGGCTTCATCAGCTCCCGCGAGCTGCTGGATGCCCAGTGGGTCTTCATGCGGGATTTCGGGTGTCCTGCACACAGAGTTGGGGCTTGAGATTCAGGGCCTGTTTCGGGTCTACGAGTAGGCTTTTGGGTTTTGGGCATTACTGCACCTGCTAGAGATGAGGCAACGTGCTCCAACAACCGCTCAGGATTGTGGCCCTCAGTACCAAGGGGCCGGAACCAATGGAGCCCGATGAAGCCTGCATCTCAGCAGGCCGATTTGTTTCAGCAATCTGCACCTGTCCGGAGTCAGATGAGGTGAAAAAAGTTCTCGGGCGAATCGATAAAGATGGCGATGGGAAGATGAACTTCAGGGAGCGTAGATCATGACGAACTGTTTCATGGCTTTTGTGTCAGCATGTCTCGGTGAAGTGTTTCTCAGCTGGTCTTTGCAGGAGTTCTGCAAGATCATGGACGGCTAGGAATGGATTCGGCGAGCCATGCGTCGGAGGTTTTCTGGAGCGCTAGGACCGCTAAGAGCTCGTCGTGGACAAGGGCACAGGAACGACCCGACCCGGAGCATCATGGAGCGACGTCCATCGAGGGGCGACATGCGAGGACGCAGGAGCTCCCAACTGAACGCCTACAGTCACGTTGGAAGAGAGTGGTTGGGAGCCCTGTCGGGAAGCCTGTGCTGAAAAATCTTGAATGTGCCTGCTTGGAACGCTCAAGCTTCATACAGCAGCGAAAGCAGTGCGAGAGCAGCATCCAATAGCAGAATTGTTCTCGTAGTTTGCATCTGCATGAACCCCGTTTCTCAACCCCACCTCGACCCACATCATTATTATCAGTATCATCATCATCTTCATCATCATGGCCGTCATGACCATCATCATCACCACCGGGAAGCTCGTCATCCCCACTGATTGCCACAAGAGCTGCTATCACGGGCACCACGCCGCTGTCTTTGCTCCAAGATGCTAGACTAGCAGGGACCGCCGGCCCACAGAGGGCTGGTTTTCACGGAACCTTACTCGTATGCAGAGATGCTTGTGGACCATCTTGACTCTTCCCCTCACTCGGGGCTGGTCATGGTCTGGCTCTGCTCAAGTTGACCGAGACGTCTCGAATCACCCGAGCTCTCGTGCTTTCACAGAGGTGTCAGCGTCTGGATCCCTGGTTCAGACGAGTTACATGCGCCATGGTTTCGACTACAACACAGGTGCAGACTCGGCAGCTGCGGCAGATATGTATCAGTTGACCCTGCTTGATGGTGCAGAGACGGCGACAAGCAAAGAGGCGATTGTCACCCATGTTTGTGGCTGGGTTGTCCTTTGGGATCTGTTTTAGTTTCCCCTATCATTTTGTAGAGAACCAAAATAGTAAATAATTTGAAGAAAACTCAGGTGGGAAAGACTGGGCTCCAGGAGCTTTAGCACTTGCTGCCTCCCTGAGGGCAGCTGGAACTTCCCGGAATCTGGTGTTGATGGTCACGGATACAGTCGGACGGCGCTACCAGAAGCTTTTCGCTGCAGTCTTTGACAAGGTGTATATAGAGGAGCCAGTGAAGCCTCATGACAGCATCACTAGGGATGGTGCTGATTGCGTAACGCTCCAGCTACGTGCATGGCAGCTGCCCTACAAGAAGGTCCTTTACATGGATGCTGATATCATTGCCCTGAAGACCCATGATCCGGTTCTTGATAATTTCGGAGAGCTGTCGGCCAAAACAGATTCTGGGCTTTCAGAACAATTCAACGGGGGCATGTTTGTCTTGGAGCCCTCAGACGATAAGTTCCATCATCTGCGCCAGCTCTTGAAGCAGGATTTCGCAAGGAGCGGCAGCAACGGCGGGATTCAGCAGTTCCTGAACTATGCTTTTCCACCCTGCGACAGGGCCTCGATGGTAGGTTGTTGGGGCGGCAAGATGGAAGATACCTACAATAAGTTCACCAGGGACGTCAACAAGGGGGACCTCGACTCGGAGAAATTCGAAGCTCGGTGAGCATGGAGTGACCAGGGAGAATGCCACGAAGTCGGAGACAGGAATGAAAGATGTAGTTGCTTAGTATGATCCTGAAGACCAGCGGTGCTATCCAATCATGACCAGCATCATCGCAGTGTTCAGTGTTCCAGAACTACTCACAATCAGTGGACGTGGCAACTTACTAGTCGCAGCAGGGCAAACATCACACTGCAGTACTCGTAGCAGCTTCAAAAGTCAAACTGTTTCTCCAAGCTTCTTTCGACATGTGGGGGTCGTGGCTTCGAGGTGGAGTCCTCGCAGACAAGCTTGCGCCCAACCTCCCAAAGACCAGCCACAAATCCGAGTCCGAAAGCCCTAAATCGAAACCCCAGTTGTGTGGTAGACTTGTTTTCGGGGCTCTTCTCTCAGCTTGGCGAAACTCCGGTTGCGTGCCCTTTGTGCTATGGGCGTCATTTGCAGCGTGGGAGATGCGTTTGGGTTTTGGTAGCTGTGTTTTTCATGTTTTAAAAAACAGGATTATGACCAGTGTTTATTTCCAGTACCATAACCCGTGCCATCACTAGTACTGTCACTATTACTATCAATGCTACATAATGCTACCATTCTGATTCCTAAACCCCAACCCCTAAACTCTAACCCCTACACTCTAAACCCTAAATCCCAACCCCTAAACTCTAACGCCCACACTCTCAGCCCGAAACCCCAGCCCCTAAACTCTAAACTGTTGACGGCGAGGCAAGCCTCCACTTCAGTGGTGATTGGGGAGGCTCCAGGAAGCCCTGGATGTCCGGCTGCTTCCAGGCTCTTCTTAAAGGACTTTGTGTAAGTTACCCTAGTTGAGGGTTCCTTTAAGGGCTCCTTTAAGGGATCTATAAGGGTTCCTTTAAGGGTTCTGGGTTTCAGGTTTAGTTACCATGATAGGGATCTATTGTAAATAATATGGTTTCCTTACTATGGTGGCTTTAAACCCCTCAAGAACAGAAGATCCCAGGCTTAGCGCAATCGGACTCCACCACGCACAAGACCGGATCTCTCCAAAGCAGCTCGGTGAGGGAGAGAGACGGTTTAGGGGTTTAGGGTTTAGGGTTTATAGGGTTTTGTTGATTGCAGAATTATTGGGGTCTAGGGTTTAGGGTTCGTAGTCGTGCCATGGGATCGGACGTGGGGGGGGCATTGTTGGATGGCGGAGTTCAACGTCTCCAGGGTGGTCACGGCAAATCTCTGAACGAGCCAACCCTGAATATCCCTTTACCCTCTGCCCTAAGCCTTGAAACCCAAAGGCCAGAAGTCTTCAAACTGTGGAGACTCTCAAAGCCTGAACCCCAAGAGTCTAAAGCCCTTCACGCAAAAACTCCTTACAACTCTGAATCCCCGAAACTGTCGATCAACTGTTGAGGTAAGCTGCTGCAGATATGGATGGATGCTTTTCACCAGGTGCATGCGCCGGAAGGCCTTGAGGACCTGCTGCACACAGACTGCCCAGGCGAAGAGAGCTGAAAGCGCCGAGAAAAAGCGCACCACCAACTATGTACAAGGCTCTTTCTGTACATGCACATAACATGTGAATATAGTTTCCTGGCGTCTTTCTATGGATGCGGCTTTCATCATCTGAAATGTTACTAGGTATGTTGCGTGGTAGAACTGCTGAAGCAACTTCGGCAGAGCAGCAAGGACAGGGCAAACTTTCTGCCGCCAATCGGCCCTGCGTGTTGATTGATCGGAGCTCATATTGCAGTGTAAACCTCAACAATGACCCTAAACCCTAAACCAACACCCTAAGGGTCGATACACATGTCATTGCCGCTGGCAGCAGGAATGAGAACTTCAAAATCTCGCCAGCCCAAGTACAACGGCCCTACTGTTGACCCCAACCCTGCGACATCCCTAGGGAGGAGATGTCTCGGAGGAAAAGGGAGGGCTCACAGTGGTCAAGGGCTCCCGAAACCCTAAAACTTGAGGGCATAGTTTGTCCTTTCCTTCAATCAAGCCATGGCTGCACCAAGCAGAAGACTGTAAAAGGTCGCTGGCAGATGTAAATGCGATTGCAGCCTGGACTGCTGTTCTGTCAAGGATGGAGCCTGGACAAAGGAAGTCGATTGCTTTGACCAAGTTTCAGCAGGCAGGGAAGGCCACCATCGATAAGATCAAGAAGCAGAAGTCCGAATCGAAGGTGCCCAAACAACAGGGCTTCGATGTGGTTCAGATCGGAAGTCTTCTTTTTGCCGCGTGGATAGTGCTTTGGATAGTTGCAGCTTCCGTAATATCCGCCGTGTTCTTCGTGCGCTACATCGGCATTGTCGAGGACAACCAGGCCTGGTACCTACAACACGGCAGCGCGCGTTCTGCAGCGGCAGAGACCACTGCCGTGCTGCAAGCTGCCATTGAGGCGAAAGAAGCATTGATTGCCTCGATTAATTTCGGGCTCATCAAGACAAGCTATGACTATGCAGCAATTGAAAGCACCCTGGCACCAACGCTTCTGCTACAGCCCTTCCTGCGCACCTTTGACATTACCTTCTCTGACAGAACAGCAGGGCTCCATATCCGCCATCAAGCAGGAGAGGGAGGACCCAAAAAGGACATAAGCATAAGCATTTTATAGGGATACCCTTAGCTTACTGAGCTTTGTTATACGGGATGTATATATATATATATATATATATATGTATGTATATATATATATATACACATACATACATATATACATATATATATATACACATACATATATATATATATATATATATATATATATGTATGTATACATATATATATATATATATATATATGTATACATATATATTTGTACATATATATGGGGCCCTACAGGAGAAGGAGGACGGCAGTTGATTCTCCAATCAAATGCCGAAGACTGTTACCTGCTCGGAACACAGGACGGCAGCTGGCCAAACTTTCGTGGGAGTCTCCAAAAATTAGGGATACCCTACTTTGGGGTCCATATAGTGAAGATCCTACTTTCTAGGGTACTACATTAGGGTCCCCCATTTTCGGAAACTCCCTCATGTCCATGTGCACAACCACAGAGCACTCAGAGCATCAATGTGACAGTCTGATGCGGTCAGGGCTGCGCAAACCTTGGGGTCCAGCCTCAGCGATTTCCAGCCCGATCCCAAGCAACACAGTACCACTTTTGGCTGCCAGTATTTGGCACCAGCCATTCCAGTAAGAGATGTTCCTGCTTCCGCCTGGTTCGGTGCGGACATGGGCTTGCCCATGCATCTATGCAGAAGCAAGCAGAGCATCAACCCCAAACCCTATGCCCCGATCCCCGAAGCATGGTCCCAAGCAGGAATAGAAGCCTTCTCGCCAAGGCTTGGCACACAGACGCCATGTTCCTGAACATGAGTTTCGAAGGCCGTGAGCGGCGGTTGAGGGCTTCGGAGCTCGAAGTGAAGCGGAGAGTTTCCTTAGGAGTTCTTGTAAGGGATCTACAGGCGTTCTACAGGATTTCTTATAAGGGATATGCCAAGGGGCCAAGGGGCTGCTTGCGTTTCCTGTGCATGTGACGTCGTTTCGAAAGCCCGCATCTTGGATCCACGGGAGCAGAGCCTGATACTCTGAAGAAGCACAATAGATTCAGTGGATGCCCGCACAAGAGAGGAACCCTGGTTTGTAATATATATATATATACCTTCGACAAACAGCAGCCAAGAGGTAGAGTCTTGCTTCGATTGCGCTCCAGAGCACGACACTCTACAGACGTCCACACAGCAGCCAGCGCGCCTGCTCTGCCAACATGGCGGAGGATGCAGCGCAGAAAATCATTAATGCTTTCGTGGAGGCTAGGCTGCACTCTATTATACCATATTATACTATATTATACTATATTATCCTATAGTTTACTATAGTATACTCTAATGTATTGTATGATACTATAATATTGCAGACTGGCTCGCCATGGGCAGGCTTCGGGTGTTTCGTTGATCGCAACCGATGCGTGTGTGTAGACGATACTTGTTGCCTAGTCCCTTGGACTCCAGTCCACCCCTTTTTAAATAGTATAGGTTGAATCCTAAGCAAGAACTCCCGGTGTCATCGTCAGTAATGTAGCATAATACACACTATTACCCTTGAAGGTTACTCAATGCAGATACAGCAAAGTATGCCCCAAAGCCCGATTCCAGCAAGGCCCCACTACTACTGCTCGCAACGCTGGCCAAGGATGGCCTTGCAGCTGGGCGAACGCTTCCACTGCTGCACCCTACCAGAACGGAGCCTTGCAGTGTGCAGACCCTTGGCACGGCTTTTTGGGCTTCAGGGCATCGGTTCGATGCTAGGGCCTTGGACATGGGGCTTAGGGGTTTTAGGGTCTCAGGGGTGAGCCTTCAGGGTTCGAGGTTTTGTAGTTCATTGTTTTATGGTTTTAAGCGGTGGGCCAGAAGGAGACTCTTGCACACACACGTTCGGTCAGGCTTAGAAGCAGGGCAGGGGCATGTCTGCAGATTGGCCATATCATGGGTATCCCCATCTGATCCTAGACCAAGCCGTGAACCAGTGAACGTGCGAAGGATCGGGTATGTTTGTATTGGAACTGTAATACTGTACGCAGGGTTACTCTTGCTACAGGGCTGCAGCAGAGCTTAAATTGCATGGAACCTGCATGCTTCCCTAAACCCAGAAACCCGAAACTGCCCTAAACCCTAAACTGCCAAAACACCCTAAACCCTAAACCCTAAACTGCCCTAAACCTTAAACTGCCCTAAACCCTGAACCTTAAAACCCTCAACCCTTTTCCTTAAATCCTAAACCTTTCCGAAGCTGAGGATGGATCTCGCCAAGACTGCCTTGCCACTTGCCTGGCATGACTTAGCCCTGAAGGCTATCCAGTTTCGGGTTTAGGGCAAAGTTTAGGGTATAAGGTTTAGGGTTTAGGGTTCAGGATTTAGGGTTTAGGGTATAGGGTTTAGGGTTTTTGCTCCTGAGGGCTCCTTCTGAAAACTTTGGGGCAACATACCCAAAAGACACCTTCTGATACTTAACGCGGCTGTATGAGAGCGTTTACGGCTGTATGGTTTCGTGGGTTTTGGACAGTTGCGAGAGTGGACATGGGAAGCAGAGAAAGAGTTGCCAGAGTCGCGTCTAGGCTGCCGTCGCTCGAAGATCCCAAAGCGATACTATAATCACCTCTACGATTTTGGGGTTCCTTATTTTAACTATAGGGTAGTATACCCCCCCCAAACTTCCAATTATTCATTCCTCTATATTATCCGATCGTGCGGATGTTCCATCTCTCTGCAGGTCTCAGCTGTCTATGTGCGGAACGCCTGTCTGTGTACGATTATTGCTATTATTACTATTATTACTATTATTGCTATTGTTACTATTATTACCCAGGTCCATCCGTCCCCAAGCTGGGCAAGCCCGCCGAGTCCGTTTGGAGACCATCTCTTCGATGCTTGGGGCACTTGAGGCAACACTTTGCTAGGTGCAGTTTGCAACGATGATGATCATGGTGATGATGACGATGATGTAGATGATGGCCACTGTTATCACAGTAGTTTCACTTCTTTTGGTATGTCAGTTGAATTCGAAGTTCGGCGACAGACCCGGGCCTTGTCTCCAGCCGCTTGCCTTGTGGTTTCGAAGGATCTCCGTCGGTGCGGAGAATGTGGAGGACTCTTGGCTTGCTCAGTGCAGAGCCCTTTGCATGAAGATTCCATGATTGCATGTATCGCCATGAACAGTCATCGTGTCATCACCATCGTCATTATCAGGAACAGACTCATCATCATCATCATCAGCAGCAGCAGCAGCAGTAGCATCCTTACTCGTATCGTCATCATCATCATCATCATCATCACCATCATCATCATCGTCACGAACGAACTCCTCGCCACCCTCAGGACGATCAACGAGACAGAGCAACAATAACATCACAAGCGACACCAACACAGCCGGCAAATGTAAGTATGCCCGAAATAGAAGTACTTTTCAACAAGTGCCGGACTTGTACGTTTCAGATTGAAAGTCTTTGAGAGCGCTACCAGCCACCATCAAAACCATGATCAAGACTTGAGGAAGTCGGATTGCCCTTGGACGATTTCTGTGTCACCCTGAGACTGGATGACGATGCTTGACCAGCACAAGTTCGGGTCTGTTGTTACATTTGGGATTTGAACATTCTGTGCATTCTTCAGTATATGCCGAAGAAGCAGCCTCCATAAGTGGCCGTCTGCAGACATGCCACTACGTTGCTGCGTGGATTCTTGCTTGTGTGTATGATTAGGCTGCCGGTGCTGGGTGCTGGGTTTATGGCCAAAACGAAATCGGAAACATGCAACAGATGCTGAGTAGTGTACACCAGCTGTGCCGGCGACTGCACCGCCTGGTTTTGCTCTGGTGCTGTGGGTAAGTTGCTGTCTTTCCGACAAAAACATTGTGCGATTCGTCCGGGAGCGAAGTCGTTTCCACAGGCTCTGCCATATAGGAGCTTACAGCTACACAAACATGGACCTTTTTCTGCACTGGCTGGGCAAGGTGATCTCCATGCCGAAAGATCTAAGCTAGAGGAAACGTTGAGAATGGTTTGACGTGAGTTTGGACATGACCTTACTAACTGCGACGGCTCCCTGTCTGGAGGATATGCAAGTTCTCAAGGCCCTCATTCCCCAACATGTGCGTCAGTGGCATCTGGGAAGTGGACCGCTAGTATCGGCTCATAATTAAGTAGTCAAGTCTGAAAACGTGACGGAAGGGAAGGAAAAGAGCATGTACCGTTTCATGCTCGAGTTCACACTTGTTCTATCAGCCCAGAACTCCGGTCCGTTGATGTCCGGTGGGGCTGGAGTTCGCATGTCTAGCAAGAGAAGAGCAGCCGCTTCAGAGCTGACGATGAGCTATGCAACGTCGCAGTCCGTAGTGGCAGTTGTCGAGTATAGGATGACTTGCACCCAAGCCCGGCATCGAAGGCGCAGCTCTCCCAAGTGCCTGTGCAACGTAGGAGATGGAAAAGTTGATCAGGGCCGCCTTGCATGTCGGCTTGCAGCCCTGATCACCGAGTCACGCAGCCACAAGCCAAGGAGCAAACATTGTATGCCTTCCAGTTTGAGGATGATGAGGTCCCTTGGCACGGTTTGACAAGCTTTGGGGCGGCAGAAGGTCTAGTGACTGGTGGTGTGAGGGAAAGATGAAGCTAGGTAACAGGGAAGCAGGGATTTTGCCTGGCGAACACTACTTCGTCTTTTCCAGTGTTGCCGAAGGCTCATCGTCCCAAAAGTCCTAGCGTCAAGTCGGGAAGCTTGGGAACACGAACGAGGACCCCTGCTTACGGCCTCTATTCATGTAATGTAGCAACATGAGAAAGACAACGCGACAGGCATGACATACCAGACTAGAGCTAGAGATGTATGCACATGTACAACACGCCTGACGTGGTTCAGCGCATCTCCTTTACGCGGCGATAAACTGGATTTCACGTCGGTGAGGAAGGCCGGTTTGCGAAACGGACAGCTAAGCTCCAAAGCAAGCACCTGAGCTCCAAAACTGTCAATCATGCTGAAAAAAACCGAAGCCCGAAGAACGCCTTAAAAAACCCAGAAGCCCCAAATAATCTTTCTGTACTCTGCCCTTTTTTCACCGTTTCATTTAATTTGAGGCTCGGGACACGTTTGCCCTATGCCTCGGAATGTTTGTGGACCAGCGAAGAGCGGAGGCTGAGGAGACTCGGAGGGCTTTTTGGGGCCGGCTTTCGGGGGGCCTGGAATGTAGGGTTTAGGGGTTAGGGTGTTGGGGGGGGTTTAGGGTTTTTGGGTTTAGGAGTTTGGGGGTTTAGGGTTTTAGGGGTTTAAGTTTAGGGTTTAGGGTTCCAGGTTCAGGGTTTAGGGACGCCGAAATGCCTGAGCAACTGCTGTGAGACACCTGGTTAGGGGATTTTGGGAGTTTGGACTAGGCTTGTTGGCACTAAGCTTTTGCGTGTAGGAACCTGAGGATAATGGGTAAATGCAGTTTGGTATAGGTTGTAGGGGTCCATTTTGGC